ACTGAACTTACTGAACGTGTGCAACAGTAACTGCAGTGCTGTGCAGCAAAGCCCAGTCTCATTGCATTGCCATCACAGAACATAGCATCAATTTCTCCTGGAAAAGCATATGATAGAAATATACGGCCCTGAGAAAAAACAAAAACAAAAACAAAAACAAACAAACAAACAAAAAATTTTAACTTGGACTTGGACAATGGGCTTTTTTTTTTTTTTTTTTTAAACCACCAAGAAACACTCTGGTTTAACTTCCAAAATCTGCTTCTATACTCTAGATAACAATGCCCTTTCTGTACCTAGGCAGGCTGCTAGTCTGTGTTCCTGTGCAATTCTGCTATGACCAAACCACAGAAACCTCTTCACCCATCTCAACAACACATTCGTTGCTTTGGAAGGAAAGCCCTCACTTGGTACATTAAATACAGATGTAGACTACTTCCTCAGTGCTAGCAGTCATTTATAGTTATTTGCACTGCTAGTTGCACATCTTGCACATAGATTTTTATTAATATGTGTTTCAGACAAAAAAATGAAACCCCTTCATGGGTAAAGAGAATAACACTGGTAGCCACTGGGGGACACCAGGAACAATGGACATCTTGGAGTAGCAGGTAAAGCTCCCTCTCTGTTAATTTTACTTCAAAAGGCGGTTTTCTTCATGGAGGATGTGAAAATAGGAGTTGTGGGACTACACACGCACCACGCCTTCTGATCCAGGCTCATGAAGCGATGTGAGATAGACTTTTACAGCCTCAGAAGGCTGGCCTACGTAAAGGGATGCTCAGATGAAGGTCTGCTTTTGCTAGCCCCACCATTAGAAGCCACTCTGGCTTCTTGCCAGCTCAGTAGAAGCCAGTTCTCTCCTGTATCTGTTGTGGCTGGTGTTCAGCTCTCCCTTCTTCATGCCTCAAGTAGTGTGGTACACAGTCTGGTAGGTTGAAATTTAGCTGACCACTGCATTAATGGTGTACGACAAGCTATGGGTGTCCTCCATCTCTTCTTGCAGCACCGTTTCTTCAGGGCTGAGAAAAGTATGATTCAGAAAGAGAGTGTCTGTGTAACACAAGTCCTGAAAAGGAAGGTGTCATTTCTGCACCAATATTTTCCAGAGTAAAAAAAAAGTGCACTTGAAATGGTGTGTTCTCTAACTGTTGATAAAATCATTGTGGGTCTGGGGTAGACATCTGCTCCGTTTCCTTCCAGGTCGTGGTCTTGTTGGAACTGCACTGCGGAGTGGTCTCTGGTCAGCAAACACGACTTTACACTATGGTAGAGAATCGGACAAACTCAACAGGAAAAATGAATGTACTTTTCTAGTTCAGTCTCCCTTTCACAGCACAAGGCTGGAAGTGGAAGGGATGCTCTCTCTTCCTTGCTGGCTGTGTGACTATCTGAGCATACTGAGCTTCCTGACAGCCAGTAAATCCATCAGAAAAATGACAGTAGCGTAATGATCATTCCACCACAGAATGTGATTTTTCTAACCCAATTTATACCTCAACATGACCGAGGTCCTATTTATTACCCTGAAATGAGGATGATTCAAAAATAACCTAAGTTCATATTATTTTTAAATCCCTCTTTACATACATATTCCAAACCCTGCCATGCTAATAGAAGTCATATTTCACATGTATGTCACAGTACTGTGGACTTACCAACAGTCCACTGGTGCTGTGCCATGATGGGTTTATGTCTTACAACAGGCTTAGTGATAACATGTAAATTAAGTTATAATAGTGAGGAGGGGTAGGCTCTTAATGTACCTGTTTCTAAAATAAGGTGCCACTAGACAGTTTTCAGCACAAACAGTTAAATTTCAGTGACATTTCCCTTTTTAAAGAGAGCTAGGGCAAGAGCAAAGTCATGCTGTGTGCATGCAGTGGGGTTTGCAGACGTGTTGCTGAGTTCCCCTGCCTGATGTCGCATGGAAGCATTAAACTCCCTGGAACAGAAAGACCTAAGGGAGGTTTAAGGATCAATACTACTGATACTAGCAATATTCTCATTCAGCACTATTTTAAAAGTAGAAATTAATGTTTCTCTTCTTACAGCCAGACCTGCATTCTCACCTCAGTGCACAAGGGTTTACGAGGCTAATCTAAAACCCGCTGAAGTGAAAAGAAATCATTCCTTTTAATGCAACGTATTTCAGATCAGTCCAAATATTTATTAACAATATTAACAGTGTTAGGCATCAGCTTTTGTACTTCCAAGGTGAAAATAAATCCCCAATTACTGGTGAACTCTTTTACAGTTCTTTCTGTAACACTTAAAATTATTTCTATGTAATTCTAAGCATGGAATGATGATCAGACTTAGAGATGTGTACACATACCACACAAGCCTGTCACCATTTTCACAGTCTTAGTTACTTTCAGCCAAACTAACTAATATATTTTGCTGAAAAATAAGTCACTCTATTTTTAAAGTATTTCTAAATGCTAAACTCATCAAGTGCAAGAAAAATACAGTTTTTGTCTTTCTCTTCTCTAATACAGTTACAAAATGCAATGGCCAGAAAAAAAATGATGCAACAAGCCTCAAAATCTCAATTCATCTAAATGAAAAGTCATATGGGCTGCACTGTTCATTCAAGCGCCTATGGACAGTTACCTTCTGGAAAGTGAATTCTCAACTTGGTGCCACTTCGTGCCCAGCAGGCAAGTAAAAGATCATAGCAGAGGTAGCTCTAGGCTTTCCAAGGGCAGGAGAGTTGTCATCATGTATTATAAGTTCTAGCAGCTTAAATGCAGCTTTCAGGATCTCCTTTCCTCACTACAATGGACTTTTTCCCTGTACTGAATCTTGATTCTTGTATAATGTTTTTTGTTTAGTGAGCATTTTGTTCCATCCCTCTGAACAAGGTATTCTCTTTAGGCATTTCTTCATCTGGCATACCTTAATGCAGACCAGATTTAGACATTCAGATCAGTACTGTTTAGGCTTAGCGTTTTGAGGCATTTTAAATTTAAAATAATTTATCCCACTTTCATATAAATAGTAAACACACTTTTTGATACTGCCCAATCTAAAAGCTGAACCTTACACAAACATTAGAAAGAAAGGAGAGTCAGGCAGTTTTTCAAATTGAACGAAATATTTCTAAAAATGAGGTGCCTCCAATAAAAACATTTTGCCAAGCTCAAATGCGGCAGTAGCACCTGAGTAATAATGAGAGGCAGTAGATGAGGACTTCTCTTTTCATGTTAAAACCTCTATTTACTAATACACAGTCACCTTTGACAAGGCAAATGCTTCTTGGCTTCATTGAAAAAGCCACCCAAATAATTGCATGGCTGTTTGCTCTTCTTCTCCCTGGCTGTCACCTTGGCAGTACCTCACACTGGTGTCCATGAAGCAACCCCACACTTGGGATAGCAGTGACCAGGACGAGGAGAATGAAGGTAAAATCGCCCCATAGCTGGGATTTTTCAGGTCTAGTTCAAAGCACCACATTAAACTCTGGAGACAGCCAAACCCCTGGCAAGCTCACTGGCCGCAGGAGGAACACACCCTGCCACCACCACTGACCTGCCTCTAAGCTTATCACCCTCTGCTCCGTGTAAATGTCCAGCCTGCCTTCTGCCTCCTCCTCCTCAGCTTTCATGGTAACTCTACTCTCCATACCCTTTCTCTTTATTTCCCAATTAATCCTGGGCCTTTTTCTCACCGTCCTGCACACCTCCACAAAACACCCTCTTGAGCCAACAGGGCACTACCTTGCTTTTTCATTCCCCTCACTCCAGGCAGGGACTGCGAACTGGCATTCTTTAATAGAAATGCCAAAAAGAGCTCCGGCTTAAAATAAATGGTCACAGGATCCTGTTTATCTTGCCTCAACCACCGCGTCCAAGCCTGCTGTAACAGTGTGGAGTGTGGCTCCTCTGGGACAGCAGGATAAAGCAGCAAGCACGTGCCCTGGTGGTGTTAAATCATAAATAAAACAGCAGCCGCAGGCACCTCCTCTGAGCATAAAACGCAGAAGCTTTCCTGTAGCTCATTTAAGTCCTCTCTTCAGAAGCAAGGCCTCCCTGTTAGCCTCCTGAAATCTGCTTTACTTTGGGGAGCACAGCTCTTCAGCTGAGCTCAGAAATGAGTCTGGCAGTGTATTCCCTGGTGGCAGAAATCTCCAGAGCAGGCACAGCATGAAAAGCATTGCCCGGCTGCCTTAAGATTAATTTTTCCCCGGCGTTCACTGGAGTTCTGCCCCACTAGCACTCGCGCGTTCAGCCCGTGGGGCAGGTGAGAAGATAGCTGTACCACTGAACGTGTGAAGTGATTGGAAAAATGGTTTGAAAAAAGCCAACGGGGAAAATGAGCGTCCTACTGCTCTGCTTGCACCAGCCATTCTTTTGTCTGGCCCTGAAGCACTGCAGCTTGTTGGTGTGGTGCTGGTGCTAGAGCAGATAACAGGAGGGAGCAGGGCAGATGCAGGAAAATGTCCACACCCCTGGAATTTGGAGTGCAAGTCAGTAAGTGCGAAGGTAAAAAGCCGTGATGGAAAAGGGCATGATCCAGGGGAAGGCTGCTAGCAATTGGACACTTCCCTAAAGTCCTAGGTGGCAACGCTCCCTTCCCCATTGAAACCACCTCGCCAACTAATTGAGAATGAAAAACATAGGGAAGACTTACCACTGTTCCCAATTTTCCTCATACATGTGTTTCAGGAGTATTTATTTACAGGTACAGATATTTGCTGACCCAGGTAGCTGCCTGTTAGTCTGCTGTGAGCAGGGTAGGCAGGTGTTGTGTAATGAAACTTTACATGACTGGTACGAGGGCTAGTTTGGGTCTGTCTCATTTTGGGAATGTGTAGATTTGTAAGTTTCCAGGTGTTCTTACTTTGTGCTTTTAAAGAAAAGAGTTGGCAAACAATAACACAAGATATATTAACCTGCAGAATGGTTCAGTTATTCAAAGGTTTGCACAGTTTTCAAACATATCAGCTTGGATTCAGGCTCCAACTATCCTGGCAAATGATGAAATGATGGCTTTCATGTATTGCAGTGAGAGATGCATTTATTTTATACACAGGCTCATCATCAACTTTAAAAAGACAGCTAGCACTGTCATTATTTTCACAGGGAAAGTACATTTCCCCCCCTCTTAATATTCACATCTAACAAAACTTGTTTTTCCCCCTCAAAAGTACCGCTGTGTATATCTCTAGGTGCACGCTGTATCTGAAGGCGTCGATTTTCTCTCCGGGCTCAGGGTGATTTTGCGGCTGAGCACTAACTACAGTTACTGATGATGTGGGGGAGAGCTGTGGTCTTCATCACCGAAGACTAGACACCCCTCCGTGATATCCCCCTTCCCCTCCCTATCCCCTGACACTCTGATGGTTGGTTTTCCTGAGAGTGTGAAGCAAGGGATTAGCTGTGCTTCACAAACTCCGGCAGCTCCATGCCCGTGCGCAGGGTGAGCGCTCCAGCCTTCTCCAGGGCGAAGGCTGGGTGAGCAGCACCCGTGAATGTGTGCCTGATGGAGAACAGCACCAGTCCTTTCTCCGCGTTGAAGAACAACAGTCTGCCACCGCTGTAATCCAACAGGATGCCGATCCTGGCCGGGTGTTCCGTCACACGGACATCGCTCATCACGCCGGTGTGAAGAAACCTGTAAAGAAGGCTACAGGAGAAGGGAAATCAGGATACAGCGAGCCTCCTCGTGGAAATTTTCCAGAAATAACGTGCTGCTTAATTCCCACCTATTAACCTAGGTGGCTGCACACCGCAGCGTATCGCGTGGCAACAGCATTTCGCTCAGCACGTAGGCAAAGCAAACGTGGCATCACTTCAAAGCCCTGCCTGGCATGCTGATGAGCCCTTCCACTTGGCATCTTTGGACTCTCAGGATAAAAGCAGTCCTGACTTTATTATTCATCTATATCTTTCTTACTACATGTCTTTGTGGGGATTTACACATGAGCTCTGCTTTGGCAAAACCCTTTGGTATTTCATTTAGGTAGTTATGTTCATATATCTATAAGATTTCACACTAGAAAAGCAAACTTGTTTAGATCAAGAGCACCTTTACACCACTAACAGGGTTCAGGCCTTACAAACGTCCAAGCAGCCTGACACTGGACCACTGAAGACTACCCCAGGGTCCAGCAGCCCTGCCACAGTGGCAGGTGGGTGCCTGTCACTGTGGAAGACAAGGTAGGAGAAGGCATTCCCTATGGAGGCTTGACGTCTCCTGTAGGTGGTTGTAGATTCTAAAAAGACCACATTTATGGAAATAAATACACTTGCTGGGATTTTGCAAAGCAGTTCAGGAAATGAGCCTGGAATGACAAAGCAGTGGCAAATGAGATTTTTAACTTTTATTCACTGGCTTTATTCAATTGGTCTATTTGAGACTAATGTTATTTTTTAAGGTGCTTTATAATATTTTTTAATTAAGAGGGGGTTTAAAGTTCCTCTGTAGTTGTCCTTTTCTTATTACTCAAATTTTCAGAAAGCAAATGCTTTCTGCAAAGAAGGTCCTTTCTGCTGTCATGATTCTTGAAGCTGGCCAGCTTTATTTACCTGAAGGACAAGTATTATTCCAAGCAGCTAAGACTGACCCAGCTTTACCTGGTTTGTGTAGGACAGCACCGCATGCACCAGGAGGTATCACTCAGCCCCAGGACGCTGCTCCGTGATGTTGCCTCATAGCAAATCCCAATCCTGTAGCTTCTGCAGGCGGAGACAACGGTTTCCCAGTAATGATGCCCTTGAGCAGGCAGCAGTTCACCCAGGACTGAAGCAATCCTGTTTGTGGAAGAGATGTAAGATGTACAGTAACGTGAGTACGGTGGTAGACCAAGTACATTGTGATATTTCTTATAGTCATGTCATGCAGCTGCATCTAAAATTATTCGTGGATTGCACTCTGTTCTTCTAACTGCAGGGGTTTTATCGAAGATTTGAGTGCTGTCACTGAGAGAAATTTCATCTTTGCACTGCAACGGACTCATTGTGAGGACTGAAAACCATACAACTTTACTCCAAATTCTATGAAGATAAAAAAAAGGTGGGAAAGGTGATGTTGGAGGTAAACAAGACCTCAAATATAGTAATTTAGCAGGATTTTTCAAACTAGAAAGCATGGCTATTTGAAGTAGGCACAGTAACAGACATCTCATGCATATTCAGCTGTAACAGTAAAAAGAAGTAAATAAACCAGTAACACCTCATTACCTTTTAATAAGTCATATCAGTATGGCACAACTTATATAACTGGACCTGTGCTTGTGATGGAACTAATAGCAGTATGTCAAAACAAAAATCATGTTTGCAATGGCTGGAGCTAGCCTGGTACAACCATTCTAACATATCCCATGCGCTGAGTTTCCGAGTTCTCCAAAGCCACAGATGCTTCAGAAAGTGTTACCAATAATGCCCTCAGTGGAGGAGTAAAGTAAAAGCATGGATTAATTCTACCCCGAATATTTTCAAAAGTTAGCCCACAAATCCGTCCTTCTCAGGGCAGCAATCAGTTGCTTTGAGACTGAAGTGCTCTGAAGGAGTAAGCAGTGACCACCAACTGAGGCAAATCCAGTGGTCCCAGTACACACCACTGCCTTTGACTTTCTGGAGGTTCCTCAGTGCAACACTGAACTCTTCCCAGCATCTACACCAGTGCTGCTACTGGCTTTATTGAGATATTGCAGTGAATGAAGTTCTACAAAATTGGTTAGTGTCACGTGAAAGCTACCATTAGGCAAAAATAAGAGTGAGGAACCCATGCTGAACCCTCGGGGTGATCACACTCTTCATTCCGGTACTCACCCAGTGAATTTGGCTTTCTCGGGAAGGCGGATCACCGTTGCATTGGAGGAGATTTGCAAAGCGGGATGGGCTGTGTCGCTCAGCAGGCGAAATCGAGTTCCTAGTACAATTCATGACAAAGAAACACCAGTTCTGAGAGGCTGGCAATGTTAACACACACTGAATCATAAAAAGTTAAGCAACAATTACTGCTCTCTGAGATGGACAGAGCTGTGTCCGCTGGTAGATAGAAGCAGCAGAATATTGGGTGCAAATGCAAGGACTTTCCCAAGCTGTGCCTGACTGGGACAGCAGTCTATTATTCAGAAATGTGGCCAGGTGACAAAGAAGTCTTCAGTATTCAAGAAGGTTGAATAATCTTCAAGCAATTGCTTTTTCAAAATAGCAAATTTGAATTTTGAAGGTGGATTGGAAGCATACATGATTTAACACATAAACCTTAAAGTTCTAATCATCCATGACATTTTAAAGCTGCTCTGCATGCTTCCTCATCCCTGAAACCTCAAGTCCATAAGGTTTTAATTGCAGGGTTTTTTGAAGACCAAGACATCTTTTATCAGAATATGCTCTGCCATACTCAAAAAAACTGGGGTGAATAATTAATAATGTCACATTTCTGACAGAAATAAATGGTTTTGTTTCTGAGGTCACAACAGTTTTACATTGACATAAAGCTACCAACTTCAAGAGAAGTAGTCCCTGATTGTGCTAATTTTAGGCAGACAAAATACAATCCCTTTCATTTCGATAACTTGCTTACTCCCATATTATAAAGTTCAGTTATGTTTTCTGTAGGAAAACACCACCTTTGGCTGCTCTGCCCCTCCATCCCATTGTTTTGACATCAGAATATGGTGATCTACCTTTAGTTGAGATGAGAGCTGCTTCACTTTGTTCACTTGTCCCAAATAGGTTGACTGCCCTCAAGTAGAAGAAATAGTTCACATTGGGCTCCAGGGATACTTTCAATTCAGGTCTCTTTATACCAGCAAAAGATCTGCAAATTTTGAAGATTTTCATACATGAAAATGTATGCAGATATCCAAACCAGGAAAGAAAATTTTACGCAAACAGCTAAGCCACCAAACAGTATTGCTGACTACTGAAACAACAGGCACCACTGAGAAACTCCAAACAGGAAAGACAAACACTGTTTTCACAAACAACTGGGTTATGTAGGACCTTTGGCATTTTGCTTGAGGGATCATCCTTACTTCGTCTGACAAATTTTGAAGCCTTTACTCCTGTACCACCTTCTCACTCAGTGCAGTCATTTGGTATAATGCTCACTTCATGTTCACTTTGCAGCATAAGTCATCACATAAAATGCAAGCAGCACAGAATCAAATTCTCATCCGCCTCCTGTAAAAAGGCTGCATTACAAAATGAACAAGCTTCTGAAGGAAAGAAAAAACACCTCCTTCTAACGAATTCAGTTGCCTGACAATGAAAGTGCTTGGTGTGTTTGTACTGATCCAAAAGAATGCATACCCTTATCTGAGACCGCGCAGAAACCGTGCATGGCTTATTATGAACTTCTTGCTCACAAATTGTTCTTCAACAAAGTCTTGGCTCTGTCTCCCTCACGGTGCTGTGCACTCTAACAGGCTGGTTTTGCAAGAGGCAGCAGCAGGGGAACTGCCTTTGCACAGTACCCTCAGTGCTTTGACTAAGCCTCCCCTTTGTGGTGCCTCAAAAGCTCCAACCCTCACATCCTCCACTGCTGATGTCTTGACACACTGCAGGAAAGCGAGAGTCAGCACCCACTCAATCTGCTTCACAGGCACTTTGAAGTGCCAGTGAAAGTACTTTGGATGGCTAGAAAGATGCCAATTTTATTTTCTCTATTGTCAGGAGTATGAAAGATTGACTTAACAAATTCTCATACACTGAATCCTGATTTTCCTCATATTTGCCTCGTATGATAACGGCAAAGCTAGACAGTATTTATCCACCACATTGTATACCTGCTGGTAAAGACTGTTTATCCGTGTGAATTAGATCATTTCCTCACAGACATGCTTACAGGAATATTCAAGGTAAGTTAAATTTTCAAGTGTAATGTAGGTCTTTTGAGATAACCCCCCTGCCCTCTGCACTGAGGGGCAATAACCTGGGCAGTGTGAGGAAGGGCTGAATGCAAGAGCCATGAACAGGAGACCTGCCTTTGGAGAGCATGCAAGGTACCTTCCCTTCCACCTTAGGTTTGAGAGTAGAGCCCAGGTAGCATCTCTATGGGGAGCTAGATTAAACAAATTACCTTTTCCAACACTAATTACTGTGAGGCCCGAGGAGGTAAGGCAGGCAAATCAGCAGTCAGATCAGAACATTGCTATTCATTTGTAGTGACTGTTTTTCCGTGTATGTCCCACCAGAGAGCAGTATAATCTGAAGAATAATCCGTGTTTATCCGTGAGGATTTTTCACAGGCCTGTCTCTGCTGCATTTACCACATTAAGGTAAAATCCCACAGCCCTGCACACACCAAGTTCCTGCAAACACCACATAAAGCTCTGCATCTAGGAGAATGGCATCCTGGGGAAAGACTGGTGTACCATCCTTGTTAGTTTGTAACAGGTATTTTGCACTGACAGCTGTCATTAAGTGAGAAAAAGCACTGGGTGCTCCTGTGATCTTTTTTTTTTTCAATTTGAAAGAATTTCAGAGAGTTTGGAGCCATGCCACCTTTGGAGAATGTGTTATATTAATGCTGGAACTGATGCAGTAAATACAAGTGGGTTACCCAAGCATGGTAGCAATTGCAGTTTGCCTCAGCCTTGTGACTAACCAAAGCCCCAACCACAAGAGCACTTCAGCAAGGCACCGGGAATTCGGCTGGCTGGTCAGTTCTTATGAAAGGTTCAGGGAAGAGGTGCCACCTGATGAGTTGCCTGGTGAGAACCTGAAATCTTTACACTTGAAAGAGGAAAAAGGCTCATTTGAGCCTTTGAAAAATGAAAGATGAGTAGGAGAAAAATACAAGATGGCAACCGGGCAAGGAGATAAATACAAGAGAAGTAAGAGAAAGGAAAACAAGGATGGAAGCAGAAGCATGGGAAAAGAAGTGGGCACTTAAGCTTTGAAGAAATTTGTCCATGCTTCCTAGACAAGCACCATCTTGACATTTTTGGTGTGAATCTACAGCACAGACCACTAGAAAGAAGTTTTGAGCCAACAGTTACATGTGAAATGAAGGGAGAAAATGCTAAGCTATTCATTGGAAGCTGTTTGTGGCAATGTGTAGATCAATGTGTCATAAGCACAGTGATGCCTTCTAGATAACTCTTTCTTCTGTCTTCTGGAAAATGCCATGTAAATCAGCATCCTTCCAAATAAATGATGAGATCTTCTTTTTCACCATGTGCTATTTAACAAAACACAGAATTGTTTCTAAATCCAAGTAGACAGGTACGTTCTGGTGTAATGAGTAGACCTGAGGTGTTCATATTCTAGAGTCTGGATCCTAGAGCCTGCGTATTCAGAAAAGACTTTGGGTCCAGCCAATTGCACAATAGGGTCAGCAATCAAAGTTCAGACTTGGGTCTACTTCAAATTTGTAATTCTCCAAATCAAGAATTTGGTTGCATGCTTAAATCTGAGAGCCTCTTTTCAGTTGTAATAGTGAGACAGAAAACTCTGGAATTTAAGCAGATCTGGTCAGTAAACAGTGATCAGATTTTCTAATAGCATTCTCTGCTTGGTAATCTATTTTAGCCAGTTTTAAGCTGCCTAAGAATAAGAGCCCATCAATTTTAGCTATGATTAAGGCTCAAAAAACCTGGCTGCTGCCAACTAATAAAACAAAATATGCCAACATGAAGGAATTTCATTTGTAACACTCTGAGCCAGCTCCAAGCTCACAAGAGGCTTTGTACAAAGAAGAAATAGATCTTTTTCTGTTTAGAGGATACAGAGGGCTCCCCAGCAATCACTGTTTTTTGTCATGCTTCAGGCTGACCCTGCAATCAGTGATAAAAAAACAAGGATGAGGATAAGGTATGATTAGTACAGCATACAGGTTATGCATGGGAGAGTTCATTTCCAAGTTCTTGTAAGCTCCATTGTAGCTAGATCTTCCTCAAGCTCACCTAAAGTATTGAATTGTGTAATTTTGGTCATGAAAGAAAGAGAAATCCACCTGCAACACTTTTTATATCAGCTACTTTCTCCTTTAAATACATCTGCCCATTTTATAGATGATTGGAAATGTAATAATATTATTATCAAACCATAAGGTATCCTAGCCTTTAGCCTAAATGTTAACATATTTGCACTGTCCCCACAATGTCTTGGTATCACGATATAAAATTTAGTTTATAGAAATTAAAGAAACATTTGAAGTTTAATATTTTAAGTATCTCCTCTTAATGACTCTCTTTGTAAGATGAATATTTTAAAGTCTCAAAATTCAGCCTCCATATTTCAGGTACATGATATTCAAAGCAGAGCAAAAAGGAGTTACTTGTTTCCTCACCTTTAAATTGCCAAGGAATATTATAGTGACAGTTGTCTGTTAATGTAATTTTCCTGGGTTTAGGGAAATCTGGTGCTGTATTTTGATGCACATTTCTCTCATCAGCTTCCTCATTTATTTCAAGGAAACGTCTAGAGAATAATTTTTAATATGGCATGAACCCAGCAAATGATATGCCTAGCAGTGATTCAGAACGCCCTCTGTGCTATAATTGTCATCTCCACCCCCAAGATCCCACTGAAACAGCACCTCCAGACCTGCACTGCTACCACTGATGTGGAATTAAAGATGAAAGCATTCTCAAGATATGTGCAGAAGCACAAAGAAGGGTTGTACCATGGGTGGAAAAAAGATCTTGAAGCTAAAAATAAAGAACAAATAGGTCTGAGTTTGCTCCCAGCTGTGCCAGATGTTTCCTATCCTCTCTGCTGTCCCAGCTCTGGTTGTCTTGGGGCCAGACCACCAAAGTACTACCTGCAATGGTCCTCATTGCTATCTCAGATACCAAGCCCAGCACAGCCAGAGGGGAGGAAGCTTCCCTATTTTCCACATCTTGTCTCCCGAGCTGGCAGGACAGTGATGTGGGCAACGTACCAGAAGGGAGGCTTGTTTCCCTTTTTCCAGCATCAGACCTGCCCTATGGGTCAATGGAAAACTTCGGTGGCTAGGAGTGCCCGTCTTGCATTGGCAGAGTGGATGACACCACTTCCACTTCTACGAACTCACTGCATGCTGTACTATCTGCCTCCCTGAGTCTTACAGATTTCTCATGATGTGATACATGGTTTCCATCTGAACAGCCCACACAGCTAATCCCTGGACTACATTTCTTGCAGTTTTCCATCTCCCACACACAGATCCATTGACTTCTCAACAAAGAGGCTGAACGGTGAGAAAATAGCAGAACTCTGGAAACTGAAAGAAATATTTCAAAGCCTCATAAAGATTCTGGAAACAGAATCAACCCAGTAAGGAGCTTTAAAACCACAGCAGTAGGCTAGGGACTCTGTTGCAGAAGATTTAAGAAGGTTTGCTACAAAACCATGTCCCTCAGGTGGCAAGCTGGCAAGGAGAGAGAACTCAAAGGGGGAAATATGTTGGGGTTTTTTATGGTATTCAGAAGGAAACTTTTTACAAGGATTTATTTCCAGACATTCTTCAAATTCTCTCCCTGGGGATCTGGGACTGCCTCAGGACTGCTCCAAGGACCTCCTTGGCAATATTCAAAAGCCACTTGGGCAACTGGCTCTAGGTGGCAGTGCTTGAGCAAGGGGTTGTACCAGATGACCTCCAGAGGACCATTCCAACCTCAACCATCCTGTGATTCTGTAACATGCCAAAGGCTACAGGGAGCCAGCCCAGACTGGGGGCTCCACACACATCTACGGCTGTTTGATGGGGCCATTTCTTACTGCCTGCTTCCTTGGCAGTATCCCTTGCCTTGGATGAGCTCCCAGAATGACATGTGCAAATGCAACCTTGTGGGATGGGACCATACTGCTTTCTCCAGGACTTCCTTTGGATGTCCTTCCCTGACCTGTGGTTTCCCACTGTGCCCCCAAGAGCAGTTGTATGAACTTTCCACAGTTGCTGAGAAATGTATTTGGACTCCCACCCAGGGACTGCTTAACTATGGGGCCACTGCAAGCGTGAGAGGCATGTCTGTCCAAGGGCTTCACATTTGCCTGATCCCCAAGACAAATGTTGCTCAGGAAACCTATGAAGGACAAACTCCAAGCTTTCAAGGAGAGTAACCAGAAGAAACTACAGTATTTCCAGTCCCAAATGTTCCAGACAAATTTTATTCCATCTGATGTATGTTCTCAACACAGGAACTCTAAGCTCCCTAAGGTACTTCAAGAAGGCAGCTTCTCACTATATCAGCTACATAAGGAATTGATTTCTAGTCCTAACTAGTACCTTGGGGCCCTTTGATGGGAGCAATACAGGCAGTATGTTCTGACTACCCATGGGCTCCTTTTTCTTTGGCTTGATGCAAAAAATTAAATAGAAATCGTAAAAAAAAATCTCCATCACCAAAACATCATGTGCCATTACAGAAGCTGTCAAGGTTAAGCTTGAGGGGCTGCTTTTGAAAAAGGAAAGAGGGTCATTGCTTTGAGAGAAAATAAGTGGTAAAAGATGGTCTTTGACACTGTAAAAAGAGGTCAGAGCCCTTCTACAAATACAGAAATTTAAAGTACAGCAATTCTGAGAAAATTCATGATTTTGTCCTGTGGGAATTTTTCACACTTGTCAGAGTATAAGGCCAGCTTCTTCCCACATGGAGGCCAAAAAGTCAAATGTGACTCAGTTTAATTATAAACATGTTAGATTTTGCACAAGCTCACTTGAGAAAGGGTCAGTTCTGGCAGCTTTTTGCCACAGTTATCGCCACACAAGCAAACTGCTTGGTGTTATCAACACCTCACAAACAGACTACAGCAACCGGCACAGTTTCTGGTTCATTTTTGAGAAAAAGAGGCAATTCCACTTAACAGCAAAGAAACTCGAAGGTAAACACACAGCACAGGTTTTGGGAGCAGCTATATTTTCCCTGACCAACGCTGACTTTGGCAGGTTGAGAGGCACCTGGTGGCCTCATGAAATATGTATGAAACAGAACAGGTCATGTCTGCTCTCCGAGAGGCAGGAGAGCTGGGCGAGACCTCTCCTTGATTGCATTAATGCAGCACACTGGTCTCCTGCTTGGAAAAAACACATCTCCCAACCCCGCAGAAGTTTTTTATTTCAATTTTTAGCCTACTTTTCTAAGGAGCAAGGTGTACACAATTTCAGTGTCATACTTGTCTACTAGAAACCTGTGAACCCTTTACTTCACTAACTAGTTCTGACTGCAAGGGCTGTTCCCTCTCTGCTACATCTCCATGTGAGTCCATGTGAACTGACCCCCGGGTGAAGACCCTAATCAGGCCACCCAGGAGATGAAGACATACAAACTCAGCTGGGCTGAGGCTCTTCCACAGGGTTCTGTATGGCAAGTCACCCCCTACTTCCCAAAGCCTCTCAGACCTCTGCAACTATACTTTGCTGGAACATTGTTGTCACTGTTTTTAAAAAACAAACAAACCAACCCAAGCCCCAATGACAGACAGAGCACCACATAATTTTCTATGCACTTCAATACAGTGCATGGTCTCATGGCTCAGTGGTGCCTACCTCCCTCCCCACCCTCTCCTCTGTGCAGCACTGACTTAGTGTAGAAGAAACCAGAGGGGGTCTGGCATAAGCAGACCCCATCCCCAGTGTCAAAGCTGCTCTTTGGGTTGCTCTTTGACCCCTGTGGCATGCCTGCAGAGCCAGACAGCGTGGGACTCAGATATCCTTTGGGACAGATCTGCCCATACATCCAGATGGGTCAACAACATTACCAGGACACCTGTACAACCCTCCCTATCCCCCAAGCTGGCTTTTATCTTGTTCACCTCAAAGCAGGGCGCAATCTGGCCCAGGGCCCTCCATCCCGCTCCCTCCCGTGGAGCTCATCTCACTAATCTCATAGATTAGTGTCCGTCCCGTAAGTTCCTCAGCAGGCAGAAGCAGATTTCTTCCTCGCGGGGCTGAGGGCAGAATAATCTCTTGCATAACGAACAGACAGCCCGGGGGACGCTCGTTAGGGGCTGCCTGACCCGACCCAGGGGTGCCCGCGTCCGCAGCACTGACCTGAGGCCCTCTCCTTCTGGCGAGTGCTGTCGGCAGTACTCCAGGGTGAAGGACTCCACCGAGGACGAGCTGGGCCGCCAGCGGACGGTGGCTGTGTCCCAACACACCGTGCAGTCCTCGGCCTTGATGGTGGGGACAGCGGGTGCTGGGGGACACAGGGACAGGTTAGCTGTACCACGGGGAGGGCACCAGCAGCTGGTGGGGATGCTCGCGAGGGAAAGGAAGAGTCACCTCCCCAAAAACCCCATGGAATAGTTAGTTTTACCATTCCAGCAGTGATTTTTTTTTTTTTTGCTAGTTTGTGCTTCAAAGGTAGAAGGGGAAAAAAGATGTCATGGGGAAAAAATTCTGCACTGGGAAAGTCACTGTGAATATTTGTGGATTTCTGCACATTCTTATATTCCTGTGTAGATTTTTACGCCTCTCCTCAAGCGCATTTTCTTCATTTCTGCCAGTGTTCAAGGAGCAGAGCACCAAGGCAGTGCTGCCTACAGCTCTCCCTGCGTCACCTCAATCCTGTCCTCAGCAGCTCCTGCACAAACTGCATCAGAAACAAATGCTGCAGAACTGATGGGGAGATGCTTTCTGCTTAATTATGCCCTGTTTATTTTTGCAATGCTAAAATTTGGTCCTGTAATTTCTCTTTTTTAGAGCCTCAGTTTAAGAACTGCAGTCCCAACTGCAAGACAGAAAACTGAATGTAATATAGTGCACTGAATGCAAGTAATCAAAAACTATTGTGTGAAATTGCTTATCCAACATCACAGGCTGAAAATGGATCACTAGTATTCACTCGCTCTTTCCCTTTCCAGGCAATAGTAACATAAACAAACCTTACAACCTGTTTTTGAAACTCATGGACCCAGTCTTAATACTAATCCTTAGAAGAAAAGTTAGTAATTAAAAAAAAGGTCATAGAAAATTATTTTGCTTTTAAAGAGATCAGGTTCCAAATAGGAAGCCTAAAACAAAAGTAGAAACTAGATAATTTTACAACAAGGTAATCTTATAGAACTGCAACCAGCATTCTAGACACATTTGGTTTTGTAAGGAAAACATTTTTTATTAGTAGAAAAGGGAAGAAAGACACCCGCAAGTAATATTGATTTCCTGTTTAGTGAAAATCGGGAGGTTAGCAGTTCAGGTTGAGATGTACTTGATGTTTTAGTGCGGGTAATCTAGGTATTCAGCAGAAGAAAGAATCTGTGGGATAGACTGTCATCTGGTAATACATCTGTGTAGCTCCCTTAGCAATAATCCCTTAATTCTCTTCTGACATATTTGATTATTGCCTGGTTTTAAATGCATCTGTTTCTAAAGAATGAAAAATTAATAGTTAAAACCCCTAGAACCTGCATTCAACAACTGACACACATACCCACATTTATGTACGTGCAAATCATATGTAACATCAAGCATTTATTTCTTTATTTAAAATTATCTGTCTAAAGAGTAGATAGAGTCAGCATACCAGAAAAAGTTGCTCCTGTGCTTCTGAGATTTTTTTTAAGAAATTAACTGCAGTTAGAATCTGTATCTGATTTCCTGGTAATATTCTAGCACTCATGTAAGTGATACTGTAAGAGGCAAAGACCAACAAGGGAAAGTTCTTATTCCGTTCCTCAGATACAGGTTGAGACACAACGTAAGTTTTGACCAACAGAAGAAGGTGCATTCCCTCCTATGACTCTAGGATTGCAATGAGCCTTCATCTGGAGATCAGTTTGAGACAGACAGGGAGGAGAAGGGATGGTAGAGGGATACTTGCTGCCTTCAGCATCTTTCTCTCACAGAAAATACTGCTTGGAAACAGTATTCTCGTTTGCCAGGGGAGGGGAGGACAGGCTGTGAGTTTGAGAGGTGGAGGAGCAGGAGCCAGGAGGTGCTGGGGGGTTGCTGCAGCAACAACACACACAGCTCCCCAGGCCAACTGCCACCTCCATGGGTGCTCTCCCAACAGGGAAACATTGTGGGGGTTCCCAGCACCTGGAGAGGCTTTGATCCACTATTTGATCCACAATTAATGTGCACCTTCCTGTAACTGCATATACTAGCAAATTATTTTCTTGTACATGCCAACTTTTAATCTAAATGACTAAAAATAAACTCTTTAAATCCTTGCTTCTGAGTTTATTGGGCTACTTGAAGAACCAAAGTACTCTAGCTTTACACTTAAGTAGCCGGGGTCACACTGAAGAAGTAGCTTGCATTACCGGTGCTCATCTTTCCACCTCTGATGTTAAAAGGAGGCAGTGGTTTTGCATCAGTCAGTGCTCAGCAGTGTCCCCAAAAGTCCATCTAGGGCTCAGTGCGCTCCAGAAGGAGCTCACCTCAGCTTGAGGGAAGGTGTTTAATGAGCCCTTATTTGATCTAGTTTATTTGTTTTCTTAAAGAAACACGCCAAAGGAAGGCATCAAAGTACTCGAGGAAATTAACTTCTTCAGAAGGCTTCAGTTTGGGGAAAAAAAATGGTGAGCCTGATGCCAAAAGGCAAAGACAGTTATTAAAAACAACAGCTTCAGAGAGGTGAGAACTCCATTTAAAATTATGATTTATTATCTAGTAATAACTCATTATTATTTTACTGTTTTGCAGGAATTCTCCGTCATGCTCACAATTAAATTGTTGAGGCCATAAAATTTTAATTTCAACTTTGAATTCTCTGGAAAATCATCTTCGCTAACGTTATTAATAGCAAATTGAATATCAAGGAGAATTATCAACAAATGTGAGGTCTGGTGGATTAAGAAAAAGGCTTGAAGCTGTGCTTGCTGCCAAGTGTTTTCAACAATACACAGAGAGTTGTACGTAGTTATTTCATTACCAAATTGTTAAATACCTTTGTCTGTATTTCGTGACTGCAAGAATGGAACAATTGTTTTTATCCTGCACACTTAAAAAATAGTCTGACAAGAGGGCATCAGACCATCAGGGCATCAGATGCTTCACCTTGCTCATAATTCAAGAGCATTAGTTTTGTCAATACAAATTACAAAAGAAATTAAAGCTCAGAAAAATTAATCAGTCAAATGAAGCTCATAAACAATACTCATCCAATTACTCATTGTAATTTATAGCACTTAAATAGCAGCAGAGCCTCTCAGCCACACCTGAGATTTGTACCCCACTAGCTAGACACATGCTAGACACAGCATGTAACCTCCGTAAAGCAGGCCTTCCCCTGAAAAGTTAATTGTTTAAGTTGATGCAACATAGATGTATTTGGGAGAGTGTCAGAGAGGCTAAAAACACAGCCATCACCCCACTTTCCACAGGAGGAGGAGAAGCAGCAGCAGCAGGGAGCAGCCGTGCGGCTTCCCCAGAGCTGCCCTGGAGCATCGCAGTGCACACAGAAGAGAAATTCATCATGTGCTGCCCCAATGCCCCAGTCACAAGGCCTGGAAACATCTTCAAATCTGAATGCCTTCAAGTTTCCTCCCAGGAGCAATTATGCTGCTGTCTCTCAGTAAAAGGGAAACGACCGCGAGTTGCCTGCGATTTGCCAGATGGGCTAAACCAAGCTGTTCCTTCTGTTTCAGTAACACTATGCACTAGAATTGGTCTAAGGACCTGAAGCTTATAATAATCAAATGACAAAATAATAATAAAATGCCAAAATATGTACATACCTGTTTTAAAAATGGCTTTTTCACTGGGTAAGCTACAGCCTGTACTGTTCACAGCCATGACCCACACACTGTAGCAGCGATCTGGCTCCAGGTCCTCCAAAATGCAGTGGCTCTCCTTCACCGTCACTCTGTACTCTTCCACCAAAGCTAGGAGGAACACACACACGCATGGGACGTCACACTCACATGTTGCACTGGTAGGGCCTACGATTGTGCCTCTCTTCTAACATGTAAAAACCAGTCAATTAAAAAAATCTAGGAAGCATTACTAAGCAAGATCTCCATATTTTACTCTGACTCAGTTTTTGAGAGAAAGTTTCTGACGTGCCCTTGAGTCGAGTGGACTCAAACCCCGTTGATGGCAAGGGGCAATTATGGCCCTCAGTCCTACTGAGAACCAGGCTGCAAGTTTGCAACGTACAATTAGCAGTTGTCAGCCCTAATTTCACCACTCTATAATGTAACAACTTCTCATAATGGACTTTATAGCTCTGAGCTATAAATCAGCTCTTATAAAAAGCCCCATTAGCATCCTTTAACATTCACACACACACATACAAACATGCACACATGCAGAGCTTTAAGCACACATGCTTAAAGTGACTTTATGATCAGTCTGAGCTTTTTAATGAATGAGCATTTCAATCCTCTTTTCCCAACTTCATATATAACATTTGAAATATTTTAATGTCATTTTGAAAAAACTCTTTGTCTACATGTGGAAATACTGATTATCTTTTCCTGTATATTTTTTTCATTGGGACACATTTCCATAGTACATGCAGGGCCCTAAAAGCCCAAGGAAGCCCACCCCTTTGGGAGCTCTATTAGCTATCCCCATGAGTACCCACAGGGCAGCATGGACACGTCCTCTCTGTAGGTCAGCCTGCTTCATGAAAGGGCACCTCAGCAGGGATGTTGCTGCTTCTCTGCAAACAACTGCCCCTGTTGTTGCGGGCCATTATATTTATCTTGCATTTTGGGGGACAAAGGGGAGGGGAAGGAACAGCATGTACCTCATGCTCTCCTCCACTGTTACCCATCCTGAGTCCTATACGTGATGTCTTTACAGCCCCTCTCCTCTTTGCACCCTGGGCCCTCCCCTGCAGTTTGGTCTCCCCTCTGCTGACCCCAGAGCAGAGCAGAAAGGAGTCCTGCCTTCATGAAGGCAAGACCTCACATACCCCCTGCATCTTTGCTGCTTTGTGGCTCCTCCATACAGTAGACCTGGAAGCAGTCGATGGCGTCCCCGTCATTCACAGTCCAGTAAACAGCAATGGAGGTGCTGGTGGCCGAATTTGGTTCCTGAGGTACAACAGTCGGTGTCTGCGGGACTGAGAGGAAAGTCTCCTGTTGTTATTCGCACTCCTGCACTTTCAGCCAAATTAGCTACAGGTTTGTGAGCCAACCTGGCTGCCTATTTTCACTAAGGTTGCTTATCTCCACAGAACAAGTACAGCAAGTACATGAAATACAGATAATACTGGTGCAGTTTTAGATCAATAGGTCCTTCTAAACTAGGAACTGAAAAGTTAGTTTCTCAGCATTGTAATCTATCTGTTTCCCTCACAGTCTGGACAAAACAGTACCCAGTCCTAGTACTGTGACCACCTGAACCCAGTGCCAAGTGTGTGCCCACACCCTGCCCAGCTCTTGGGTTCCTTTCCTATGGGGCAGGACCATCACACAGATGAGTCATGGCATGGTGGCTTGGTTCCAACCTCCGTCAAGGAGGCTCCCAGGACCGTGGCAATCCTGGATACACAGAGTTGTCACACAACTCCAGCCACCCTTCTCCTTTCCCCAGGAGACCTGCTCCCTTTAGTCATAGGGAGAATTTCACTGAATTTCACTGAATTTCTAGAGTTGGAAGGGACCATAGAGATCATCTAGTCCAACTCCCCTGCTGAAGCAGGATTGCCCAGAGCTAGAGCATGTTACTCAGGACTGCATCCAGGCGGGTTTTGAAAATCTCCAAAGAAGGGGACTCCACAACCTCCCTGGGCAGCCTGTTCCAGGGTTCCGTCACCCTCACCGTGAAGAAGTTTCTCCTCATATTTGAGTGGAACCTCTTATGTTCCAACTTGTGCCCGTTGCCCCTCGTCCTCTCGGTGGGAACCGCTGAAAAGAGTCTGGCTCCCTCCTCCTTCAACCCTCCCTTGAGATACTTGTAGGCGTTGATAAGGTCTCCCCTCAGCCTTCTCTTCTCCAGACTAAAGAGTCCCAGCTCTCTCAGTCTCTCCTCATAAGGGAGATGCTCCAATCCTTGAATCATCTTTGTAGCCCTACGCTGGACTCTTTCCAGTAGTTCCCTGTCCCTCTTGAACTGGGGAGCCCAGAACTGGACACAGTACTCCAGTTGTGGCCTCACCAGTGCAGAGTAGAGGGGGAGAATGACTTCCCTTGACCTGCTGGCTACACTCTTCCCTATACAACCCAAGATACCATTGGCCTTCCTGGCCGCAAGAGCACACTGTTTACTCATTGTCATTTTACTGTCCACCAGGACCCCTAGATCTTTCTCTTCAGTAGTTGCCTCTAGCGGGTCCACCCCTAACCTGTACTGGTACCTGACATTTTTCTTCCCCAGGTGCAGGACCCTACACTTTTCCCTGTTGAACCTCATGAGGTTCTTCTTTGCCCAGCCCTCCAGCCTGTCCAAGTCTCGCTGGATGGCAGCACAGCCCTCCGGGGTGTCAGCCACTCCTCCCAGTTTGGTATCATCAGCAAACTTGCTGAGGATACACTCTGTCCCCTCGTCCAGGTCACTGATGAATATATTAAACAGCACGGGTCCAAGTATTGACCCCTGGGGGACTCCACTGGTTACAGGCTTCCAACTTGAACCTGCTCCATTAATAATTACCCTTTGGGTCCTGTCACACAGCCAGTTCTCAATCCACCTCACTGTCCCCTCATCCAGCCCATACTGCCTCAGTTTCCCAATGAGGATGTTATGGGAGACAGTGTCAAAAGCCTTGCTGAAGTCAAGGTAGATGACATCTGCTGCCCTCCCCTCATCCAACCAACCGGTTATGGCATCATAGAAGGCTATCAGATTGGTCATACATGATTTACCCTTGGTAAACCCGTGTTGCCCACTTCCAATAACCCCCCACTCTTCAACTTGTTTGGAGATGACATCTAGTATGAGTCTCTCCATCACCTTCCCAGGGACAGAGGTGAGACTAACTGGTCTGTAGTTCCCAGGGTCCTCCTTCTTGCCCTTTTTGAAGACTGGAGTGATGTTGGCCTTCCTCCAGTCCTCAGGCACCTCTCCTGTTCTCCACGACTTCTCAAAGATGATCGAGAGTGGTCCAGCGATAACGTCTGCCAGCTCCCTCAGCACTCGTGGGTGCAACCCATCAGGCCCCATGGACTTATGAATGTCCAGTTTGGCCAAGTGGTCCCGAACCTGGCCCTCCTCTACTAGAGGAAAAATTTCCTCTCTCCATACCATCCCCCTTGCCTCTAAGGCCACAGATTCATGAGGGGCAGTCCTAACAGTGAAGACTGAAGAAAAGAAGGCATTCAGCAACTCTGCTTTCTCCGTGTCTTCCACTACTAGGGTGCCCACCTCATCCATCAGTGGGCCCACATTATCCCTCACCTTTCTCTTGCTGTTAACATACTGAAAAAACCCCTTTTTGTTATTGTTAATATTGGTGGCCAAGCTGAGCTCCACTTGAGCCTTGGCCCTTCTAATTTTCCCCCTGCATATCCTCACCGCTTCATGGTATTTCTCCTTATCTGCCAGGCCCTTTTTCCAAAGATTATAAGCCTTCTTTTTGTTCCTGAGTTCCAGCCGAAGCTCTCTATTTAGCCAGGCTGGTCTTCTTCCCTTCCTGCTTGATTTTAGGGACTTGGGAATAGCTTTATCTTGCGCCTTTAAGAGTGCCTCCTTGAAGAATGACCAGCTTTCCTGGGCACCCTTGCCCTCGAGGACCATCTCCCAAGGGACACCCCCAATCATGCTCCTGAAGAGGCCAAAGTCTGCCCTTCGGAAGTCCAGGGTGGCAGTCCTGCTGGCCCCCCGCCTTGCTTCAGTGAGAATTGAAAATTTTATCATTTCATGATCACTTTGTCCAAGACGGCCTCCAACGTTTACATCCCCCACAAGACCTTCCGAGTTAACTATCAGCAGGTCCAGTAGGGCACTTTCCCTGGTCGGTTCCCTCACCAGCTGCGTTAGGAAGTTGTCTTCCACGCATTCCAAGAATCTCCAGGACTGTTGCCTCTCTGCTGTGTTATATTGCCAGCAGATATCAGGGAAATTGAAGTCCCCCATGAGTACAAGGGAGAGTGATCGTGAGGCTTCTGTCACCTGCCTATAGAATACTTCATCAGTCTTTATATCCTGGTTTGGGGGTCTATAACAAACTCCCACCACAATGTCTGCCTTACTGGTCTTCCCCTTGATCCTTATCCACAGGCTCTCGACACTGTCATCATGCATATTGCTAAGTTCTAGGCATAGAAGACTGTTCTTAACGTAAAGGGCCACCCCACCTCCTCTCTTTCTTTGCCTGTCTGCTCCACTTCTACAGCTGTCTGCTCCACTTTGATGCACACAAGCTGATGAAACCCAAAGACACTCCTTATAACATCAGGCCACCTCAGAAAGGCCAGAAGACCCTTGAGCCTAATACAGGCTCCTTTGGGTGATTGCCTTCTCCACTACCTGACCTTGCTTTGCAGCACAGGCACCAGAGAAGAGGACACCCTATGAAGAGGATGCTCATGACAGCAGAAACTGAAAGCTCTTCTTTGTAGTTGACAGTATGGGACAGCTCACTAATGGGGAGGAGGAACTTGCAGAAGAAGAGTTTCCTCCAGAGACAGATGTATGTAACTGATCCCAGAAGGGTGTGCTGGGGAAAGGACCTGCTACACCAGTAAGGGATTCCTGCAGTGTGTCAAAACCACTGAGACTGAGAGCAGCAGGGGTGTGCTTTAGGTAAAGGAAAGCTCAGAGCTCCTGCACTAAGCAGTCTGGGGAGCAGGGGGCTCCCCGCAGCCTCAGGTCCACCCCTGCCCAAAGATGGCCTCCTACTCCAGGCACACTAGAAGGTGCTCCTGCCCAGCACAGTCATTTTCCCCACAGACCCAGTGGACAGAGGATCCTTGTTGTGCAAGTGAACCCCAGCTCTGCCAAAGCACCTGAACCTCATGGGACAAGGAGCATCCTTCACAAAGAGTGCTTTCAAAGACCTCCAAGGTTCCCCACATTTCATATAAACTTTGTCTCCTGATCTGTACAGATCCATCCATGATGAGATATTGTTCCCTCTATGATTATGGCTTAAAAGAGAGGGAGGGAAAAGAAAGAAGCAAAAAGCCCCAAAAGATGCTCTTTGTTAAAGTGATTGCAGGGAACGAAAATACATGGTTCTATTTCTTCACTCAGTAAATTTCCATATTGCATGAATTCTCCTAGTATCTCAGCAGAAAGCTTTTGCTTTTTTTCAGTTATCTTCACAGAAATGATGATGATCCCCTGTGGCACAAACAAGGCAAATGCAGATGCTGGCTGTTTCCTTATGATTTATACAGAGAGCCACCAGTACAGTAGGATTACATCTGCTTCCCATTGAAAAAAAATCACCCTTCTCATTCCTAAAAAAAATCTGCATTTTGTTTTTTGACTGCATCTAGAGTTGGTCAATTTAAAAATTGCTCATCTTCAGGAAAATACTTCCTCTCAGTGGACCCAGTGGAAAAACAAAGGTTTTTTTCCTATGAAGTTGCCTGGAAACTGCTGTTTATGATCACAGAAACCCCACAACTGCGAGATATATTATTATGCCAAATTTGAACAGAAGCTTAAGAACTTAATGAATGAAACTTCTGAAAAAAAAAAGAAGTTGTAGATCAAAATTCAGTTTGTTAACATTGAGAAACATTTGATTTCTAATTTCCTGTTGCATAATATGAAACTAACTTTTGAAAAGAAGTAATTTCAAAGCAAGAAGCTGAACTCTTCCCTTCAGAAACAGAACATTTATGTGTTATCAAAGCGCCAGTCACCTTTAAAATTAATTTTAGTCAAATAAATTAGATATTTGTACCACAAGTTTGACTAAATCATATTTTTCAACAGAAGAGGGCAAAATTTTCTCATCAGTTCAGTTTTCATTGAAGTCCTGTGGTGTAAGGAAGCTTTTCTTTCATGCTACCTAATCTCCATGGTCCCCGGAAACAAAAACAATAATACCAAATATTCTATGGATATTTACTCCTTTGCAGTGTGATGAGAAATAACATTTCCTTGGCTCTGTGGACTTGAAGAAGGAGAGCAGTCACATTCCTCTGTGACTTTAATGGACGATTGTTACAATCAGCAAAGGTCCTTGCCTTCTGTTATAAAAGAGCAGGACTCACAGCAGGCTTTGGAAATAAGAATTTTTACATTTTTAAATTTTACCCACTGTTCTTGTGGCACAGCCTGGGTTCCAGTATGCCCAGTGGCATGCTACAAGGGTTTTTTATGCTTATGCACTTGTTAGTGGGGTGACATGTGAAAGAAGAATTTGATGGAAAAGGGCTTTTCATTAGTGGATATGAAAAATTTGGAAATGAAGGGTGATTTTTGAAGCATAGATGTTTTTGAAGTGATGAAAATAAAGTTCTGTGACATTGTCCAGGAAAAGACTATACTTTCTGAGGGAAAGATACGCGGATTGTAGCAACATGGCACATTCGCATTTATTTCATCAATGGCATCAGCCAAAAAAAGATTCTGAGAGTGTCTGACATTTGCGTCTAGTGTGCAGTATGTGACAAATGATGTATTCAAGGTGCTCAATTCCAAATAAACTTTCATGTTGGCATTTACCTCTGTTGTCCTTCAGGAAGAGTGTAATCGTGAAGAAAAATAAATACATGTATTTTGTCTACTGCTCACCGAAGTAAAAATTACAATAATAATTGCAATAATTGGTACTGGAAGTGAAGAATGAAAACTGGGTATTTTAGAAAGAGAAGAAAGTATAAAGAACAAGGGGCTCTGAAAGTCGCTTGTTGGTGGAGAGTCAGCCATTTCGGAAGAGAAGGCTCCGGGGAGACCTTATAGCGGCCTTTCAATACCTGAAGGGTGCCTATAGAAGAGCTGGAGAAGGACTCTTTGCCAGGAAGTGTAGTGATAGGACAAGGGGAAACTGTTTTAAATTGGAAGAAAAAAGATTCAGATTAGATCTCAGGAAGAATTTTTTTACTATGAGGGTGGTGAGACACTGGAACAGGTTGCCCAGGGAAGTTGTGGATGTCCCATCCTTGGAAGTGTTCAAGGCCAGGCTGGATGGGGCCTTGAGCAACCTGCTCTAGTGGGAGGTGTCCCTGCCCATGGCAGGGGGGTTGATGATCTTTGAGGTCCCTTCCAACCCTAACCATTCTATGATTCTATGATTTCCAGTTTATCAAAGCATGCTAGTCTGGAGCCACTGGGTTCTCGGCAAAAAGCAGACCTCAGAAGTTTGGGGAGAAACATGTTGGAGTGACTTGTGGGAAAAGGCAATACAGTATGGCAAAACAGGTCTGTCCTCCTGGATAACCTTGCCAGCAGGTAACAGCCCAGGAGGAAAGCATGGTTGCAGCCACGGGACTGCAAGAGGTTGCTTAGGAACTAAACGAAGACACATCACACATTTGCACCGCTAAGTTAAGTCTGGCTGAGAGCGGGTTACAAAAAAGATCTTTTTATCTGACTTCCTAATAAAATGAGGCCGAGACAACACTGGATGCACAAGTGCCTGTCCAACATCACCTGAGAAGCTTTGAATGCCACAGGCAAATTCATACAAATCTGACGGGTAAGTTAAGGTCTCAGAGATACCCAGTTCCTCTAGGTCTATTAAAGTAGCGGTGTGGAGGAGAGAGATGTTCTCCCCACAGTGACATTGTTGAGTGCCCTCAGCTCTTATTAGACCCTGGAGAGTCGGCGCAAGATGACTCTTCTCCAATGTCTATTAGGCACCTGAAAATCCAGCCAGGAAACAAAGCACCTTAGGGTAATCAGTGCTCTAGTTCCAATGCTCAGGGACCAAACACACAAGAAAGAGGCACCGCTTGAAAAGCCAGAGAGTGACTATGACAGTGGTGGTGCATATACAGTGAATGGGAGGTCAAAAAGCACAACAGTGAGAAGCAAGCTCCCCAAACAAACATTCTCTTGAGAAAGAAGCACTGGAGTGAGACCTCATTATGATGAAAATGAATTCACAAATTGGTGCTGTCAGCTCTTTGCTGACAGCTGTCCAGATCACAATAATTTCTACAGGTACATGTACAGGCAGAGCAGAAAGTCCACACAGGCAGGCTATTTACAGAATACGAAATATCACATAGAGATGAATAAACCCTTTTATCATGTGCAACTTTCACCGCTGCACTCTGAAGCTGAGGCTGTTTCCAACTACAGTTAGACACTTTCACTTCCCATGGGGGTTTCAGGTACCTCCATTCACTTGGCACAAACCCAGGGACCTCAGTTGTCAGCCAGACCCCTGCTCTTCTCCCCACGCCAGCAATATTAGGGCTGCCTCCCTTGGAAGTGGAGAGCTCAGGAGACCCTTTGCCTCTTCTGCCCCTGCCTGTAGGGGAACAGCAATTTCCTTCGCTCTGGGAGATTTACAGCAATTTCTTTAGCCCTGGGAGATTTACAGATAGAGCTAGTCTGAGGTACAGATATCTTGAGTGATGCAAGAATCCCCCACTTTCGCACTTTTCCCTCTGTTGCTCATCTTAGTGTCCTACTAAAAGCCAAACATTTGTGCACAATTAGACTTCATTTTACATTCAACTCCACTAATTACATGGTTTGCAAATTTATACTTCTCAAATAGATTCTGTTTTTAGCGTCATAAAATTTCCAAACCATTGCCAAAATGTTAGCTTTTGCAAAGAGGATACTTAGAGATGCTTACCAGCCACTTGTTTTAAAGAGTGCTGGTTGCTTTGTTCTGGACTGTCCGCATAGTGCTCAAACAGTGAAAAAGCACTGGGCACCTTTTCTAAAGAGAGAGTAGTATCCATTGCAGAAAGTAACCTATTTGGAAGAAAAAAAAACATAGGTGTAAAAATGCTTTGTGGTGTCACATAGTTTCCAAAGGCCAGAAGAAAAGACCATGCAACATACATTTCTGTAAATATTTTCCATGAACTTGAGTTCAACATGCAATGAGAAGCTGTTTTGCTGGTTTTGAACATGTAGAGCATACTGTGATTTCGGATCAGGAATGCAGAGAGGGTACACGCAGTACATATACACTTGACACACAAGAACATGAGGATTTGAAGTTCACAGCAAGACTTCCAGAACACAGGGATCCAGACTTACTAAGGCAGTGCCTTTCAAGGTTACAAACTTAGAGCTAAACTACAGCAGCTGACTCCAGACACGTAATGTAAAGCAGCTGCTTGCAGCAAACAAAACAAAAAAAAAAAAAAAAAGAGAGAGAAAGAAGATAAGATGGATTCCACTTAATTAGTCCATGTTCTCTGAGTTCATTATAGGAAAAAATCCAACATATTTTTAACTCTGAAGCAAAAGCAGCTTCAAGGAAATGAAAAAAAATTTTTTTTCAAGCCAATTGAATTTTACCTTTCTCCCCTTCTTTTTTCCAGTCACCAAAGTAGTTAATTATGCATAATCTTAACAAAGCACAACAAATGTAAAATACATTTTCTTTAGAAAAACATTCATTGTTATACAGGCTTGTTCTTAACTGTTTTAGCAAGTCAGATATTATCAAAGTAATAACCAAAACCATGTGCAAAACAGAATAAGCTTGAAGTTCAGTGTGTAAGTTATCAAGTAAAGCCCAAGCATACAGAAAACCTTGGAAAATCCCTTCATCACATTATACCTGCTCTATTCTTATGCAATAAACTACTAGCAGATATGTGGCCAGACCGTTCACATTTTGACTTAGAATGGGGGAATCCAAATGTATAGTCCTAATTCTGCAGATTAATGGGTACCCGAAAGGGTGTTGGGGACAGTCTCTTCATACCACTCTCCTAGGGTTGTAGTTTGACTGTGAACTAGAGCCCTGATGTCACTGTTGTACCCCAGTCCACGTCAGCACACGTACGGCTGTGATGGCAGAGGCAGCACTGACAGGGGGATCTCTGACATGCACCACATAACACCTAGGCCCTTTGGACAAAGCCAGGGGCAGTGGTCTGGGCAAAGTAGGTCTGGGGGCTTGCATCGGAGAAGCCTGCAGCCAACCGGTCCGAATATTTGTAGTTCACGTTGGAAAATTTATTGGGGGAACACGGGCTTATAATTGAACTCTTCTCTCATAAAGATGGGTCTTACCAAAATTACTTCCTTGGGTATATGGCACACGGCAGAGAACTGTTTGCTGTTCCATGTATTTACCAGTATGTGCAGCAGGGCCAGGATGCAGCTGTGATGAGGCAACAGCCCTCTGACACATCCTGAATCAGGAGGTGCCCGTGAAGAGGCATGGGAAAACATCAGCCCACAGTCTCCTGGTAAGCTTTTGAAAACCACTTAATCTCATTTTTTTCTGGAATGATCTTTAGAAATAACCCCAACAATCCAAGCCCAACAACTCCAGCCATGGGAGTGACACTTTGCATTATAACCTTTCAGAGGCCAAGCAATGCAGAACCAGACTAGTGAAAAAAGAGCACACCAGTGATGTCTACGAGATGGAAGTATGGTCAAAATGTGGGTTATTTTAGTGTAAGTGTGTATAATAATAATAATAATAATAATAACTACATCTGTTTAAAAATGTCTGTGCCGAGATTTAAAATTGAGCTGACATTTTAAAATGTTACCTGTTTAACTGATGTATTCCAGAACACATGCAAAACACTTCAAAACCAGTCAGTTACAGCAACAAATATAACACCTCTTCTATTAATTTCATTATTTGCAAGGTTTAGAAAAGCAGCTATGAATATTAGCAGTGTGTTTTCAAAACTTGTAAGAACTAAGTGAAGCACTTAGCATGCTAGGCCTAGTACTCACTACAGTGCACTTAACCCATATTTCATATACCTTTTATTCAATTCTTTAGATGACTAAAGGAGGAAAAAAAAGAAATGTATTAAGTTTTCAAAACCCTGAAAACGTTGAAGAGCCACTCTTCTAACAGCCTTGCTACTCTCCACAGACATAAAACACGAAGAGCATGACTTGGTGTTGTCTGGGATGCTGCTCATTCACACCAGCAGAACATTTGCTTCCCTAGGAATATTTCACTTCAAAGCTCTGGCTCAGCAGGCTATCAGAGTCCAAATCTGGGTTTAAAATCCTGAGGGGTCAGTATTCAATATCCAGGTTTAAAGATCAGAGCACAGTCAAACATTTTCCTAAACGAAGTTTTTTACAGAAAAGAAATCACTTGCACTATAAGAACAGTTCAATCCAAATTCTGTCTGAATTCTCCTTCATAATTTCTGGTTACTAGAACCTGTGTGAGATTTGTACTCGTGGAGTGAAAGTTTCTCCCATGGTCCATGAATCTTCAGCTAACATTTCCTGACTTTTGAACAGAAAAGTTCCTACCCTTTATCATAAACAGAAAGGGGCAGGAAATCTAATAATTTTCCCACCCCAAAAAAAGAATTTCAGGTTATAAAGTTACCTTTTTGCCAAAGTACTGATCCAGCACCTCACAAGGTTCAGGAAAATAAGATATATTTCTCACCTATCCCGAAATAGCCAGCCTCCCATGGCACTCACTTGGTTACAGGATACTAAGACACTGCATAGCTTGGAGCCGAGGGGAAAACCAAATACTGCTCCACCATTTCCACAACTGCTGGTATATGGGCCGGGGGCTTGTATTTGGAAAGCTGATTTATTTTGCATGAGTGGTCAGTCTTTAGACAGTAATTTCAATTTTTCATTTCTTGCATTGCAGGATAGTTTCTTTGCAATGTCCAGACTACATGCTAATTCCGTAGCGGTACACGATTACTGGCCCAGAAATCCCATCCCCTTCAAGACTGCTGATACACTTCTATCAAGGAGAAAGTGTTGCAGCTCATTTATGGACAAGTCTTGCAGCACAAAACCAATCTTGGAGGACCCAGGCAGTTAATAATTAACCTGTAGGACCCTCTGACACCAACTGATGACTGATAACTGCACAAGCTAGGTAACTCCAGTCATGCAGACTCACAAGGGATGCTTTTTACATCCAGAAAGGACCCCTACGGACATGCACCCCACATGCACATTCCTAAACCTATCCCATTACCATGGTTTATCCCCAGCCAGCAACCAAGCACCACATAACACTCAGTGTTTTTCAGCAGTAGACATTTATCACAGCCTCAGTACTTTGAGTGCATACCTACTGTGTCTGCTCATACAAAAAAAACCAAAAAACCCACAACAAAACAAGAAAAAACCAACAAAACCCCCACAACTCAACAACTCTGCTTCCCATTTACATAATTTTCAATTACACTTTCTTGTTTCACCTTTATTTTTCATATAGTAAAGTAACATTTCTTACTCTTCAGTGAGTAATTAATTCTAGACAAATTACCAGTGTCCCTTAGCCTTCTCCTCACAAACGAAACGGAACCATTTTAATGACATAAGGTATGAATCATCCTTGCAATTCTCTCTGAGCATTCACATGACAAAAGCAAATGATCTAGTGGAATAGGTGAGCTTGCAGGATTTAACTATCTTTAAAAAAATGAAGGTAAATAACTCATTCTCAGCCTAGGTACTGTAGGCTGAGAATGAGGCTTTCCTAACCCATATCATAGAACTAACAGTAGGAAAGCCATTTTTACTTACATTTAGGAAAACAAATCCATCAAGTTCTTCTGTTTCCTTTACTGTTGTCTCCAAAGTTTCCTTTGCTGAATCAACAGTTTGCTGGAAGTTAACCATCTGCTCATACAGGTACTCCATTTTCATCTTCTTCACTTCCTCAAAGTTCTCTGATTTTTCATCATATTGTGCTACCATTTTCTTAAGCATCTCTTCATTCTGTTTTTCCAATAACTCTGCGTTTTTCTTACAGTTTTCCTGCATAGAAAACAAACAAATGTGAATTGATCTGCAGAATAAAATCGCAACACTTAAGGAACACACATGAACCCTCAATTAGCCACACATGAGCCATCCACCAGACTCCTTCTGGCACCCTGAAGATAAGAGACCCTTATTCCTCTAAGCAAGCTCATCCGGGAGAAATAATGCTAAAGAAATACAGTAAAAACAATGGCAGATTTAATTTTTTATTTTTTTTTTTTTTTACTATTGGTGTTTAAAATTAAACTTCTATATTTAAGCATTGAGATAGGAAACCTGACTACAAAATAGCTAAAAATCAATACTTTTAACTGAAATTAATGTAGTCCTCAAGGCTTAAGAACTTGGGCATTAACAAGTTAAGACATTGGGCTACTCATTTAGATGCTTCACACAGGATTCTAAATAAAGACACAAACAGTGTGAGCTTTTTATAAGCATAAACAAAATGAAGGGAACTTTTTGCTTCAGTGCTTGACAGTGACATATTCCATTTCAATAATGTGCAAAAAAAGTGATCTTCTTCTTCTTCCCCTAAAGTTAACACCTTCCAGTGGGAGAGGTCAGTTTGAGGACTGGAGAAACACCCTGTTTTAGTGGAATCAATGACACTTCATAACAAAGCAAGCATACGTTAGAAATAATTTTGTAGAGGGAAAGAAAACTATTTCTATAAAACACTGGACTTACCTCAACAGAGTTAAATAGCGATTCAATATCACTCACAAACTCTTCAATCTTCATTGACTTTTCTTCCAGTGCTACTAGCAATTCACCTAACTGATCCTGAAATGTAAAATGTTTCAGTAACATAAGTACATTAGTTTATAAAGTTTTTACACACAACTTATTTTAGGTGAATGTTTCTGTTTTGCCATGAGCCTCCATTGGAACAATTGCTAAATTAAGTTCAAGTATCTCCCTGGCTACAAAGACAAGCACAGAAATAGCAACTGGAACAGGCACAAAACTGTTTCCAAACCAAAAAAAGTGAGCTCAGTTCAACAGGGTGCTGAGTGTCTATACGAGTTGTTGAACGCTATGAATTCCAGGGCAGTCTTGCTAGAGACTGAGTGTACTGAGAGCCTCATGAGGGTCCTTGAGATATTGCAGAACAAGCCCATAAAAGGAAGATAATGCATGTAATTATAAGGCCAGTAGATTATGCAGTGTTGTAATTTTTTAAATTAGAATTTTAAAGATATTTCCTATAAACCAGAATTCATCAGAATCACTGGTTGAATTAGATGTGGAAACAAAAGCAGTCCAAGGGACAACAGCCGTGAGAGACGACTCTGAACTTCTTAGTCCTTCTTGATCTTTCGTGAAAGCAAGCTGGCCATCTGCTCAGGTGCAATTTATAATTTATAAAAATACTTAGTTTTAATTAGCTGGCATAAATCTAAAAAGAAGGTTAACTTTCTTTTTGGCGACAGCCTTCTAATATAGCAAACTTCTACAGCTAGATCTGTTGAGAACTAGCATATGACTTTCCATTAATTATAAACATCACATTGGATTGCACAATTGAAGGCTCACTTTATAAATATTTAGGGCCAATCAACAAGATTCAGTGGCAAACTTCTGCTTGTCAAGATAACCTATAAAATCTGACAGATGCCATCCATAGCTCATTTACTGTGAAGCTATGTTCCTACAGTTAAAACTCAGGTGATTGAGCACTTCGCCGTCTTAGCGTGTTTCTCAGTAGTTACACAGAAGTAACAAGAAACATACAAATGCCATCTCAGAGTAACCTGAGCCCGGAGTGCTAGAAATCATGTGAAGCCAAGCCTGTGTTGTGGCCAGATTTAATACTGGCTTCATGTCTGTGCTTCACAGCCAGCCAGTGATATCATGGGACGTTTATTCGTGGCTTAATTTGACTCACTGCAATGCAGGTACATTCGAGGGATGATTGGGGTCTGTGACTTTATTACTTACTGGTGTCTAATTATCACTTGTAAGTCAAGCATGAATGGCCATGTATAAAAAACAACTCTGCTGTCGTACATCTGCACACCATAGAGATAGTTTGTAAATACTGATATTTGAAACTGCCACATTAATTCTTACTACTTTTAATTTCTCTTCCTTGCATATGAGTTAACATAAAGATAACATGAATACCAGAGATACAGGCCTTCTGGAATTTTAATGAAATTACACAAAATCTCTATTACTGTCAACCCAACATGTGCCAGGAAAGAGACCTCATCTTTCAGATACTGAAGTGAGATTAAATAGGTGGTAACCAAGAAAGGAACACCTGCATACCTGTACATGAACAAATCTGATATGGAAAAAGTGAGAGATTACATCTTAATGTGAGAGATTACATGCAACTCAATGAAGAAGAGCTTCCAGAGAAACGAAAGCACTTTCACTAGTATTGATAGCAAAGGACTAGCCTAGTGAAATGGAAAGCGTTTTTCTCTGCCCTTTAGAGCTGTATAGCTTAGAGATAGTGGGAAGAAGTAGGACTTGCTAAACTCTTACCTGCGCTACAGCTAAACCACTATTGGCACAGAAGGACATGAACTGAACAGAAAATGAGGATGCGGTTTCAACAAAACTGCAGTGTAAACTGTGTAACTCATCTAACATCACCGAGCAACCAACACACGTAAATAGGACAGGGAACACCTTGTGATGATACTGATTCCTACATATGGAGATTTCTGTACCTTTTCAAGTGAAATGAGTTGCTGTTACTAAAATTTTCTTTTTATAGAAACAACCCTCTTCCCATTTCTCCCCCTACATATATGAACCAGAACAAACCTACGCAGGTAAGAAGGCTTAAAGATGGAAAGTCTGGTAACAGTTACATATAAACAGGGTCATTCAAACTTCTGAACAAATAAAAATACCAGCTGAGCAACCTAGGACTCTAGAGAATACCTTAATAAGATAATCTCCCTTCAAGATCTCCAACAGGTGTTTAGGAATAGTTTCTATTTTATTATTACTGTGACTTAGCCTCTGGACTGTTCTCTGAAGCCTCTCCCCGGACAACACAGGAGTTCTGGGGAAATTACCCTTAGCATCTCCCCACCCTCACCCAAATTAATTCTTACCTTCATCTTGGCTGCAGCATCATCTAGTGTTGTCACTTCATGGTCTTTATGTTCTCCAAAAAGCTTGTCAATAGCAGATATTGGGCATTTGCAGTGGTAACAGTAGGTGTCTGTTTGTGCCTTCTTTAGCTCTCTTTGTGGGCTCTCAACTTGAGGAATGTTTGTTGCAGATTTTTCAGGATACATCACCACAAAGCCTGAATCTTCAAGCTCAACAGGTGTTCTTTGCTCTGGCTCATTAACAAATTCATAACTATCACCAGCATGCTCAAAAGAGTCTCTGTCTTCAAATAATAGCTCCTCATGTGTGAATTGAGATGATATTTCATCTTGCAAAAGTTCTTCTTGTGTAATCACATCATAGTCCATTGACTCAGCAAGATCTTCATAAACATCAGGTTGTTGCTCCTCTCCTTGCAAGTGGGGCTTATCTGTTTGCTGAAGGGTAGGGACACTAGAAAGATTTTCCTGAGTAAACTGATCATCTTCACTGTCTTCAACAGGAGTCCTGACATATGGGACATACTTTTCCATTTGAGGAACTGCTGCCACGTCATGCTGTTCCTCCTGCTTATTACCAGCTTCTTGATACGCAGCTCCCTGATAATCTGCTAGTTGACTATACGCTTGATGACTTGATTGCTCTGGCAACTCCTCGGTTGTTTCTACAGGTATGTTTTCTTCTTCTCTTTGTTCAGTCATATCAGCCCTTGCACCTGAAAGAATTACTTTGCTTCCAAAAGGAATGGCATGCGTTGGTTTACAAATTGTTGCTTGAATGTCACTGTCAACCTGGACTTTCTCTCTCTCCACAACACCCCTTTCTGTCAGAACCTCAGTCCTGACACGTTGAACATCACCAGGCCCCTGCTTGTGTTTGTCCTCTGAAATCTGAACTGAAATTCCTCCACTAAAGGACTCATCTTCTGGTATCTGATCCTTTTGAGGCCCTATGGCCTTACTTGGAATTTCATCTTTCAGAATGTATTTTTCAAAATATATTCCCGTTCCATCGTCTGTGTCTGAATTTCTACTAGGGAAAGACGCATTAGAATTACCACTTTCCTCATCAGAGGGAGTCTCGTCCTTTGTCTTTTCTCCTACTGCTTCTGCATAGAGATCCTTGTATAAAAATGACAGAGCAGGTGGCTCCTCTAGAAGTTCTGGATTAACTGCAGCAACAGTGGTAGGAAACAACAGAGATCGTTCTAGCACTCCTTCTTCTGAATCAAAGAGTGGGGTCCCTGGGGACTTTCGTTCATCTTCTACATTTGTAACCTTTTTACTGCTCATATCAATTGATTTCTGCAGAGGTAAAGGATTTGGAGTATCTACATAGGACTGCATTTTGCTTTCTCCTTTCAAAGTACCATAAAAGACTTCATCCAGATCCTCAAGTAAGGAAAACTCCTCTTCCAAAGTATCTACCTCAGTGCTTTCTTTAGAAGTCGTGACTTCTTCCACAGGTTCATTGGGATCTTCTGCCACAGGAAACAATGAACTTGGTCTTTCAAAATGTGGCTTAATTGGGGATTTATCATCAATCAATGTATATTTTTCAAAATAATCCATATCAGCCAGACCATTATTAGTATCTGTATTATTATTGTTTTCTGGCAACATGGGATTTTCTTCTTGTGTTTCTCCAGTTTCTTCAACACCATCATTTTTGACCAATTCTTTTAGTTCATGGCTTGCAGGCTTTCCTAACACTGAGCTTTCTGAAATTTCTGTGGTTGTCCCAGAAGCTAGGGCTCTATGGCCATCATCAGCTAATTTTCTTTTAAAAGAAGGATTTGTTTCCAAGTATTCTAGTTTATCTGGCATGTGTTCACTTTCTTCCTGATCCACAGAAGAAATACGTGTAGGAGCATGAATATTGAGTATTTCATAACCTTCTGAAATTATATTGAATAGATCTTTTTGTTCAGTGGTCTCTGGAACATCCTGTCTGTCTTCTACAGTGCTCACATGTTCCATTTCTTTCTCTCCTTTCAAGTAATGTTCAGGCATTTCAGATACTTTCTCTACCTCAATATGTTGCATTACTTCCATTTTTGTAGTGTTTCCCATGCTAGTTTCATGGTCTGGAACTTTGTCTAGATCTGGTTTATCTCCTACCAGAGATGGCAAACCATATCTTTGCATTTTGTGACTAGTGTCTGAGGACATTCTATGGGAAATTTCACTTGATGCTGAATCAGAAACTCTAAACATATGTTCTTTACTCTCTGTAGCACCATGAACTGTAAATTCTGTGCAGCTTCCAGCTGGGGATTTTTTTGATCCAAAATTGGAAGCTTCATTTGGAGAAAGATTAATCCCTTGCCTGTCTACTCCTGCAGCTCTTACTGGACTAATTGAGCGAGCTTTCACCTCTTCTACCAGCCAGGTAGCTAGCCCAAAAGATGGAATATCTGGATTTTGCTTTTCATCAGAACTAGAGCTAAGGGACTTGATGTCCACTGAAGAAGGGCTGCCATGTTCACCAGAATACTGCTGAGTTTTGTCTGTCACAGTTTCATAAACAAGATCTGATGAAACAGCTCCCAGATGCTCTAAGGATGTTTGCTTTTGGTCTGCCAAATATCGTTGCATTTCACGTCTATCTTCTCCTTCAGTATAACTGCCTGAAACTACATTAGATTCCTTTCCAAGCATGCCTACTACATCAGATAAAGATGATGGAATATTTTGTTTCTCTTCATTGTCAGTGAAAGCCACTGACACTGACTTTTCAGGTAATGTATGAAAAGGTACAAATGAATCTGATGACACTGCTTGCCGGTCTGCTACAGCAGTCACCTTCGACTCTGTGGTCACCAACCTTGGCAATATCTGCACATCCGGTTGCATTTCTTGCTTACCCTGCTCAGCAGTGAATTTGAGGGGACTTCTTAGCTGCTCTGATAACAAATATTTTGTGTCCACCAAATGATCTTGAGATTCTTGCTTGTCTTGGTCTTGTGTGTGCTTTAGAGACGTATTCTCCGACTGCACTGTCTTCAAGTTTGCTGGTTTAGGTGAACAGAGCTGAATTTGTTGCAATTCTTTTCCATCATGTGGTGGAATTACATGTTTACGCTCAGGTTGTGCAGACTGGGGAATAAGTGGCCACATGCTTTCCTTTTCTTGCTCAGCAGGGGACCATGTGGGAACCAAATACTCAGAAGTTGGTTTTGAATGAGGTGGAATTTCCTGATGATATGTTTCATCAGCTGAATAAAATGGAACTGAAGGCTCAGACTCCAGTTTTGAAGGTACAGTTAAATAACCTTGACTTTCCAGAGTTTCTGCTTTATCTGTAGAATATGATAAATTTAATTGTTCAGATTCTGATTGCGCAACTGTGTGGAAGTAATGTGGAGTAAGCTCTCTCTCTGTTTCAGGTAAAATTACATGTTCAGCCTCTGACTGTGCAGCCACAGGAAAATGTAGAATATTTTCTGTATTCTCTGCTTTGCTTCTTGCAAAGACAAAACCTGACTCAGGCTGGGCAGTTTCTGACTCCTCTGTTTTACAGTGGGTGTCAGATAAATCTAAGTGCTTGGGGGACAGGCCTCCAGCTACAGGTGAAGTCTTAGGTCTTCCTTCTGGTTGTGTTTCAGAGACAGAATGTGAAACACTCAAAGGTACAGACACTGTTTGTTCAGTAAGAGATGAATACAGGTGATTTTTTTTGCTCTCTGCTTTCTCAGTGGAGATGGATGAATCTTGTTCTGTTTCCAGCTGAGCAGTTAGAGATGAAGTAGTCCTGGGGTCTCGTTTCTCTGAATGTCCTGCTCTCAGAGGGGCCATTTCATCTTTTCCTGCTTTGTCAGTAGAACTTAATAAATCTGACTGTTCAAAGCCTGGTTGTACAGTTCCCTGAATCTCAGTCCTGCCAAATGCATGTGATACAGAAGGTGAAGGTGCTTCTGGCTGCTTTGTTTCCACAACAGCATACGGCAAATCAAGGCACGGCAGTTCATGTTGCGCCCTATCCCTCTGCTCCCTTTCACCCACGAAACGTGAAGTCTCTGGATGCTCTGGCTGGGCAGTCTGTGGTTGCTCTGCTTTGCCACAGGAGTACAGTAAATCTGGTGGTTTCATTCCACAAGGCTCTGCTTTGCCAAGAGAATATGACCAATCTGGATATTTTGATTTTCGTTGTTCTGATTGCAACTGCTCTGCCTTTCCTGTGGAATACGAAAAATCAGAAGGCACTTGTGCAGCTTCCTGCTTTTCTCTTTTGCCAAGCAACTGTGATAAACCTGGTTGCACTAAATCTAACTGTGAAGCTGGTTTCTGGTTTTCTTCACCAAGTGAGTACAAAAATTCAGGCTGGGCCATTCGCTTTTCCTCTAGTTTGCCAGAGGACTCTGGCTGTTGTAGTATTTCTGGAGTAGGTTTTGAGTACGCTGATTTTCCAGCTGGATAGGATAAATCCATTTCTTCCACCTCTGCTTGTTCAATTTCATGGTGCTCTTGTTGACTAATAGAATATGATAAATCTGGGTAGTTTGACTTGTGACGTGTAGCTTCCTCTTCTGCTTCCCCAGCAGAACAAGATAGCTGCGGACGTTGCAACTCTGGCAATACTATTTCTTTTTCTCTTTTGCTGGAAGAATACAACAAACCTATATGTTCCAGTTCACCTTGCACAGTTTGCACTTCATCTGCTTTGCCAGGGGCGTGTGTTAAATCTCGTTGCCCCAAGTCCATTTGTGTTGCTTCTTCTGACGGTGTTTTGCAAGTGGGATATGATAAACCGGGAAGTTGCCGCTCTGGATATGCCAATCCTTGTTCCTCCATTCTTCCAATGGGATGGGGTGCTACAAGCTGCTCTGATTTCTGTTGTGTAGCTGGTGGCCGCTCTACTTTGTCACTGGAATATGACAAATCTGGATATGCAGCCTCTGCTTGTGCTGTTCCTTCCCATTCTGTTTTGCCAGTGAAATGCAGCATGTCCTGATCCTCTGCTTCCACTTGAACAGCTTGTGGTTGCTCTGTCTTCCCAGGGCAAGATGATAAATCTGTTTGCCCTAACCCAAGTCGTGTGGTTTCTTGTCGCTGTGTTTTATCAGTGGAATATGACAAATCTGAATGTTCCAACTCTTGTTTTGTCATTTCTTGTGGCTCTTTTTTGCCAGGGGAATACAAGAAGCCTGGGAATTCTGCTTCCAGTGGGGCCCTATTTGATTGCTCTGCTGTGCCACAAGAACTTGACAAGATTGGCTGTTCCAGTTTCAGTCGTACTGTTTCCTCTGGGTGTGACGTATAGCTTCCTCTCTCCTGTTTGACCTCCAATTCACTAACAGAAGAGGACAAATCAGGGGACAGTACTTTACCCATGGCATCCGAGACCTCTGGGTGTTCAGCCTCCTGTGGGGCAGCCCATGATGGCTTTGTTTGGACAAAAGAATGCAACAAATCATATTCTTGCAACTCTGCTTGTGTTGTTTCATGAGGTTCTGCTGTATCAACAGAGAATGACAAATCTGCATGTTCTGATTTTGCTTGGGAATTTTGCAATCCTGTTTTCCCCACAGACTGCTGCAGCTCAGGATGTTTTGCCTGCATCCCTGCACCTACCCATTGCTCTTTTTTGCTGAGAGATGATGAAAAATCACCTGGCTTTTCCTGCTCTGGTAGAATCTTTTCTTGTCGCTGTACTGTGCCAGCGGAATGTAATATATCCAAATCCAAATCCACTTCAGCCATTTGAGGTTGCCGTTTTTCACCAACTGAACATGATAAATCCATTAGTTCTGCCTCTGGTTGTACGATTTCATGGTGTTCCAATCTGCCAGCATATAAATCTGAACGGTTTGATTTCACATGTGCAGTTTCTTGTTCTGCCTCACTAACAGAGTAAGATAACTGTGAATGTCCTGATTCTGGCTGTGCTTTCTCTCCTTGTGCAGCTTTTGTTGAGGAATACAGGGAGCCTGACTGCTCCTCTTCAGCAGTTTGTGCTCGCTTTGTTTTGCCAGACCAAGATGATAGATCTTGTTTTCCTAACGCCAGTTGTGTAGTTTCTTGTGTCTGCATTTTATCAATGGAATATGATAAACCAGGATGCTTTGGCTCCATTTCTGTCATTTCTCTTTGCTCCTCTTTTCCACTATGAGATGATTCATCTGGAGCTCCTAGTTTCTCTTTTGTGGCTTGTGGATGCTCTGCTCTGCTGACAGGCTGTCCCTCAATAGGATGTCCCAAGGCTGTGTGCTCCATCCCTTGCTTCCCCACTTTGTCGGCCAAGTTTGTGTGGCCCTGCTCCAGCTGCGCAGGTGGGACTTGCTCTGTTTTGTCATGAACATCCAACCCCTGCTGGGTTGTTTCTTGCACTTTGTCAAGGGAATACGTGAGACCAGTGTGTTTGGATTTCAGCTGTGCAGTCTGCAGTTCTCCCACTTTGGAAGTGGAGTAAGGCAACATAGGATGTTCCTGCCCTGGTTCTGCCTTTTCTTCTTCTTCTGACATATCCACAGAGTAGGCCAAATGTGGGGTTTCCACTTCTGGATGAACTGTTGTCTCTTCTGCTTTTCCAAAGGGGTAAGTTAAACCTGTCTGTTCCGATTCTTGTCGTTGCACCTCTGTGTTGTCCAGAGGATGTATCACACCAGTGTCCCCTGCCTCTGGTGGGGCAATTTTATCATCTGGCCTGTCAATGGAAAGTGATAAATCTGATTGTCCCAAGTCTTCCTGGGCATGTTTTAATTGCTCTGTGTTACCAGGAAACTGTGATAACTTTTCTTGCTCTAACTGCTGTTTTGTGGTGTGCTGCTGTTTTTCTCTGTCAACAGAAATTTTTCTGTGTTTCTGATCCAACACTACTACTTCTTGTTGGTTTGTCTCATCAGTGCACTGTGACAGATCAGAATGCTTCATTTCCCTTGGTGCAATTTCCGTCTCATTTTCTTTGCCAAGGGAATACGTCAAATTTGGATATTTTGACTCTATTTGTGCAGTTGCTGGAGAAGCTCTTTTTCTGGCCATTTTTGGCAATTCTTGATATTTTGACTCAAACTCTTGAGCTGCTTGTTCTTTGGCTTTACCGAAGGAAAATGATAAATCTGGATACTTTGAATCCAATTGGGAAGTCTCTTCCTGGGTTTTTTGGCCATCAGAACTTGTCAAATTTGAGTATTGAGATTCCACTTCCATACTTTCATCTTGCGCTGCTCCACCCAGGTTTTCTGGTGAATCCAAATGTTCTGATTTTCCTTGTGTTTCTTCCATGGACCATGAGTGCTCTGGATGTCCTGACTCCTGCTCTACGGTGTCGCCTTGTTTTGCTTCACCACTGTCACATGAAAAATCTGGATGTTCCATTACCAGTGGTGCAGTTTCTTGTTGCTTCAAACGAAATGGTAGGGTTGGATGTTTCAACTTTTTTGGTTGTTCAGCTTCATGAAAGGAATGTGACAAATCTGGATATTCTGAACTCACTTCCATTTCTAGTGGAGCTTCTTTACTGGAAGATTGCAAAAATGTTTGCCCTACCTCTGTATGTACAATTTCTTGTTGCTCTGTTTTGCCAGTAAAACTTGAAAGAGATGGTTGCTCTGATTTGTATTGCGTCATTTCTTCCTGCATTTCTGTACTTAAATAGAATGGCTGTTCTGAGTGTGCTGGCTCTGTTTGCATTTCTTCTTGCATTTCTTCACTGAGAGAATAAGACAGAGATGGATGCACTATCTCTGGTTGAGCTGTTCCTTGTTGTGCCAAACTAATCTGGTCTATGACCTGGGGCTCTTCTTTCCCCAAGGATTCTGACAAATCTGAGTACTCCATTTCCATTTCCATAGCTTTTTGTTGGGCTGTTTCCTGCTGTTCCAGCTCTCTTTGTACTGTATCTTGTTGTTCCATTCTACCAAAGGAATATGATGTGTCTGGCTGGACCACACTGAGCGGTGGTGTTTCCTGTTGCTGACTACCAGCAGTGGAACAGGAGGGAAGTGACTGCTCCTGCTCCATTTGTGCCATTTCCCAGGGCTTTGCTGTGTTGATCAAATGTGAGGACCCCAAAGACTCTGACTGCACTCCTTCTAGCATTACTTCTCTGGTGCTAAATGAGAAATCCCTATTTTCTGAATCTAGTTGTACATTTTGATGTTGCTCTGCTTCACTAACACCACATGATGACTCTGGACCTTCTAAGTCTCTTTGTACAGCTTCTTGTGCTGTTTCTCCCTGGGCATATGGCGAATCTGCTTGTTCCAACTTTGGTTGCAATATTTCTTGTTGTTCTGTTTTGCTGCTAGAATATGATGTCTCTGGCTGTTCTGCCCTCAGCTGTGAGGTTTTATGTTGCTGTTCTTTTCCAGTAGAATATGACAAAAGTGGATGCTCTGACTGCAATTGAGTAGTTTCTTCTTGCACTCTTTTGGCATGGGAATACAGCTTACCTCCAGGTTGTGAATCTTGCTGTATAGGCTGCGGCTGTTCTCCTTTGTTACCAAAATATGACATGAGAGAATTATCCAAATCTGCTTGCGCCAGTTCTTGCTGCCTTGTTGTATTTGTGGAATATGGTAAATCTGAACGTGCTGTTTCCAGATACCCAGTTTGCTGTGTCTTCGCTCTTCTGGTGGAATCAAATGTATCTGGATGTACCGATTGGAGTTCTCTAGTATTTTCTTTCTCTACTTCTTCCATCAAACATGATAAATCTGAAGGTACCACCGCAAGTTGTGCTGCTTCTTCTTGCTCTGCTTCTTCTTGCTCTGCTTCTTCAGGGGAGTAAGACTCTGGCTGTTCCAAAGGAACAAATTTTTGGTTTTCTGTTTCTTCCCTGTGAAATAAAAACTCCTGATGTTCCAGCTGTGCACTCTCTGATTCTCCTATTTCTTCTCTGGAATATGAGAAATCTGGCTGCTCTGTCTCCAGCTCTGCACTTTCTGGTTCCTCCATTTCTTCTCTGGAAAAAGAAAAGTCTGGATGCTCTATCTCCAGCTGCGCACTTTCTGATTCTTCTGTTTCTTCCTTAGAAAAAGTTTCACGATGCTCTTTCTCCAGTTGTGTACTCTCTGATTCCTCTGGTTCTTCCATGGAATATGAGATATCTGGCTGCTCTGTCTCCAGTTGAGCACTCTCCAATTCTTTGGTTTCTTCCTTGAAATGTGAGAAATCTAGATGCTCTGCCTCCAGCTGTGCACTTTCTGGTTCCTCCACTTCTTCCCTAGAAAGAGAAAAGTCTGGCTGCTCTGTCTCCAGCTGCGCACTCTCTGATTCTACTAATTCTTCTCTGGAATATGAGAAATCTGGGTGCTCTGTCTTTAGTTCTACACTTTCTGATTCTCCAATTTCTTTGCTGAAATATGAGAAATCTGGATGTTCTGTCTCCAGCATTGCACTTTCTGATTCCTCCATTGTTTCCCTGGAAAAAGAAAAGTCTGGATACTCCACCTCCAGCTGTGCACTCTCTGATTCTTCTGTTTCTTCCATGGAATACGAGAAATCTGGATGCTCTGTCTCCAGTTTGGCACTCTCCGACTTCTCTGTTTCTTTTGTGGAAAAAAACAATTCCGGATATTCTGTCTCCAGTTTTTCACTTTCCAATTCCCCTGTTTCTACCCTTGAATATGAGAAATCTGGATGCTTGGTCTCTATTTGTGCACCCTCCAATGCCTCCATTTCTTCCCTGGCATATGAGAAATCTGGCTGTTCTGCCTCCAGCTCTGCACTTTCTGGTTCCTCCATTTCTTCCCTGGAAAAAGAAAAGTCTGGATGCTCCATCTCCATCTGTGCACCCTCCAATTCCTCTGTTTCTTCCCTGGAAAATGAGAAGTCCGGATGCTCTGTCTCCATCTGTGTTCTCTCTGTTTCCTCAATTTCTTTACTGGAATATGAGAAGTCTGGATGCTCCATCTCCATCTGCGCACTCTCTGCTTGCTTGGTTTTTTCACTGGAAAAATCAGGGTGGTCCAAGTCTACTGCTTTATTTATAGCTGAAGTTTCCTGAGTTTCTTTTGTTTCTGTGTGAACAGGATATGAAATGCCAAAATATTTAGAATCTATCTTTTCTGGAATAGGGGCATTTAGCTGAATTCCTTGCTCCTCTGTTTCCTGAAGGGAGGAGGAAAAGTCTTGTTCAGCCTTTGTTTGCTTCTCTAAGTGAACATTTTGGGTTTCTGGTGGTGGGATCTTTCGACCCTCTGTTTCTTCAGCAGAATACAATAGACCTGAAGGCTCATTTTCTGACAGTGCACTTGTTGATGAATGATACTCAGTTTCTTCCTTTTCTGTTTCATCTACAGAATGTGGTGGAAGCACATGTTCAGACTCAGATTGTGCAGTTTCTGATGACTGGGGGATAACACCCTCCTGTCGTGCTTCAGATAGAGTGGAATATTTGGGTTTAGCTGATGGAGTACTAGGTAAGTAAGACTGAACTGCTGACTTCTGTGCTTCCTTCTCAGGATGTTCTGACAGGGATGCCATAGGCAAAATAGGTTGGGTACTTTGTCTATCTAATTCATTAACAAAATCTCCTGAAACAGACTGTGGTGCAGAATTGGGCTGAATTTCCTGCTCCTTCAGTTTGTCCAGATGATCCGATGCTGTCACCAGGGATTGGTCTGGTTTCTTGTTTGCATTTTTAGCTGAAGGAAGCAATACTTGTTTCTCCAATTTATCATCAGCCTCTGATGAAGCGGGGATTGTTTGCTCTGTTATTGATGTTTTGGCTGCAGGTGAATAACTTTGCTGCTTCCTGGCTTCTTCAGGAGGGCAGGACTTCAGTGGATGTCCTGACTCCTGATTTGGAGTCTGTGAAACAGATTGTCTGTCTTTTCTTTCTTGGTGTTGAAGAGTTTTTTCTGCATCAAAGCTTGAAAATCTGCTTGGTTTATCTTTCATTTTAATGGGTTTAATATTTTCAGATGAAACATCACCTTTACTAGTAAACTGTTTTTCAAGAGGTGTTGTTGGTGAAGAATAGCTTTGATTTGCCTGTGCTGTGGATTGTTGTCTTTGCTCCCTTCTTCTTCTCTCTGATGGTGTTTCAAGATTTCTACTTCTTGTTCTCTGGAAAGTTTTTGAACGTGCTGCTTCTGAAAGTGAACGGAACTTCTGCAATCTCTCTTTCACTGATGTTTCAAGTAACTGTTCAGAATCTCCTGAAACTGAGCTGCTTCTCTGGGTTCTGGTTTTCTCCAGTGTTTCAGGGGCTGGCCCAGTCCCTCCAAAAATTGAGTTGAACAGCTGGATTCTAGCTTGTACTGGTCCTCCAAGGATCGGCCCTACTTTTCTCAGCCTGCTCTCTCTAAATATTGATCTTATCGGAGCCCGTTTTACTGGCTCTTCTGTGATGTCTTCTAGATCTTCTTTGTCATCCAGCATTTCCTCATCTGTGTCTTGTGCTTCCACCTGTTCAACATTCAACACGGAGGCCTGAACATCTCCTAGGACAGTTCTTTGTTCTTGCCTCTGCATTCCAGATGAGTCACGTTTTTTATTGCCCTGGCCTCCCTTCAGACTTGTAGCCATCGGCACCCTATTCGAAGCTTTGCGCTTCCTCTTTCGAATAATCTTGCCTTCATCCATAATAAAGATGACTTTTCCTGGAGGAGAACCTACCGGTGAACTTTCCATACTGTAAAGATCAGAAGTTGTACTAGTTTCCGAGGCCCAGGGAGTAGAACATCTGCTAGAGCTGGTTTCCCAGGTTATCCCACTGTCTTCACTTTGAACTGTTACCATAGAAAAGGAAGGGTTATTCATGATGCATTGCAGCTTGGGTTTCACATCTTCGCTTTGGATAAGATCTTTTAAACTGAAAACAAAAAGAACAAAAGGGGGGGAAAAAAGCTGTAAAAATACTGCACCTGCATACATTTTGAAACAAGCATAACCAAGCATATTTAATCTAACAAATGTATTTTAGGTAAAGTTTTGTTAAGTTGCATGTTGCAAAGTTATGTCAATGAAGGGGAGGTGTTTAAATGCTCTTGACGATGCAGGAAAACCAGTCTTTGATCTGACCTTGTTTTGCCAGTGTGACATTGAGCTGATTCTGGGGCTAGTCTCCAGTGCATGGTTATCTCACAGTATAATTTAAACCTTGCATTAAACACTTAAAAGATACTGTCAGTGTTTTAATAGCACCCACACTTCCTTGCCCAAATGTAAATGATTATACAATGCTCAAAGGAGTAGGGGATCTATCTGCTAGTTTGTTACTGTCTTCTCATGTGTTTCATCCTCTAAGTGCTCTACATATTTAGCAAAGTAATTTAAAATACATTCAACAATAAAAATATACTGAGCCCTCCCTAGATGAAACAGCAACGTTTTATAAAACTAATTTTAAACCTCGTGATATGTAATTAGTACACTATCATACAATGCAATCAAATCTCTCTCTGTTTCAAAAAAAATAGCTGGAAAGACTTAGAAAAGAAACCCCAGTCTTAGAAATATGAGTGTAAAGAATAGCAAAAGCAACTAAAAGATGTAATTTTATTTTTAAAAAAAGCATCTTTAGGGTTGCAATAATTACTCCAAAAAAGCATAGAAGAGGTAAGCAAAACACTCAACCCCAATATTTTCTGAGAAGACAGTAGTTCATTTAGTGAAATTGCGTTAGTAGCTGATGGAAAGAAACGCAGTGTCTCCTGGCAAAGGCAGAGGATTCAGCAGAGCAGAAGTGCTGAAGTCTCTGTAACTCTCTTGGAAGGATGCAAACCTGTGGCCACACAAGGTCCAACTTTCACTGAGCAGAGGCAAGGCTGGCTTTCCACTTGATTAGGATAAAACACTTCTTCATCGAGAGTGAAGAAATCTGGCTCCTGACCATGGGATAGGAAAAGCAGAACCCATCTGACCAGCTGCCACAGGCTGCAACTCAGCACCACAAGGGTACCAGAGATGCCTGCAGGCTGCAGTGGCAGGGGGACACCCCTGAGGAGCAGTCAGCATTGCTCCACAGGGTGCCAAGCAGAGGTCTTCGAAGGAGGAGAAGAGGAAATCCTGAGGACACTCATAATTGCTACATCAAGGGAACTCTCTGAACAATAAGGCAGTTGTAAAGGGAACTCAGCAAAACATCTCATTACCTATCAGAAACAAAGAGGTAGTCCTGATACTGGCAGTGCTGGCCTTACCTTTCCATGAATTTGCTCTCCAGAGCACAGAACAAGAAGGCTGCCCTGGGTTGCCCCATGCTGAGGTCTATACAGATGGATGCATAGAACATCTCAGCTTTGATGGCCTTAGTGCTAACTGAAGACTGAAGTCACTCTGTGGGACAACAGCCTGACCAGGCAGCAGTGGGACAACACGATATCAAAGTCCAGTGACAGAGCTTAAAGCCAGTTGTGGTGTCCCATTTTAGCCAAAAAAAAACAACCCCAAACCAGTCCTCAAACAGATACAAATTCCAGGGTGTACAGTTGATCATCTGCCTTGGTGTAGTGTACTCTAGCAGGGCTAGCTCCGTAAGGTTGGAGGAAGAGGCAAAGCAAACTGATCTACACTAACTTTGCTGCTAGCTTCTCCTTTGCCAGTTTCATGGCTTGGCATTAGGTTGATTTGGGCATGGCAAAATGAAATGAAATGAAATGAAATGAAATGAAATGAAAATCAATAGCAATAATACTAAGGAAGCTTTCAGGTCTTATTTCAGTCCACCATAACAGATGACTAATATTTTTTTTAGATTTTTCAGCTTCTAAATTACCCTCATATATTTTAAACCTATTTTTCTTCACTACTTGGTGTTATTAAATAAAACCCCATGCAAAACAGAGCAGCACTCCCACACCTCCTCAGCTGCTGGACCAGTTGTCTTCAGACACACTGAGCAAGGTCTGTCCACCCGTGCTGCGCTGCCACCACCACAGAGAAGTACAGCCAGCCCGTTAGCTTTCTGTGTTCCTCCAGAGCCTCCCTCCCTCCCCCCCCCTCACATCAGGCCTTGTTGCTGTTCGCTGCAGAACACCTCGGAAGCTGAGAACAGCCCAGACAAAACGACCGAGGTGTCAAGCTGTGGCGACGAGACCTCTCAGCCCCTGGGGCCTCCTACTTGGACCCTGCAGGCACAGTGCAGGGGAGGTGGAAATTGGTACCAGCCAGCTTGCCTTCCCAGTTGAAGGAAATGTGTTATTTTTCCGTTTTTGCTCTGTGCATTCCTGTAGCTTCTTGCCTTCACCATGCTGCTCCTTTCCCCTGCCTCAGCCAGTACGTTCAGCAAGGTCTCTGCCTGTTGTGCCTCATTTCCTGGGGCTATAGCTCATCTCACTCCTTCTTCAGGGTGAGAGAGTAAGGAGCTACAGAAAGTCACTATTTTAAACTCAGCCTTTCACTTGCCAACCTCCTGCTCACTTCCTTCAGTGTCAGTGATGCCCCTCCTGGCAACGCAGTGGCTCATGCATCTGTCCAAATCCAAATGAGTAATTACGTATAAGCAGTGAGACTGCTGCTCTCACTGCCACAAAGCTGATTTTTATTAAGTGTAGCTGGGAGCCTGGAGCTGGGCAATTTTTTTCCACCCCCGACACTTGCAAACGCCTGGGAAGTGGCACAACCCACGGTGGGGCTGCTGGTCTCCTCTCCAGACGTCAGGTCACGGCATGGACATGTGGCATTGCTGGTCACAGCTTCGCCCACTGCTTGAGACACCGAGCACGTCTGCAGCCCCAGAGGCCTGCCTTGATCCTGCTTTCTGGATTCTGCACCATACACAGAATCATAGAATCATAGAATGGTCCAGGCCGGAAGGGACCTCCAAAGGCCATCTAGTCCGACCCCCCCACAGTCAGCAGGGACACCCCCAACTAGACCAGGTTGCCCAGGGCTTCATTGAGCCTCACTTTGAATATCTCCAGGGATGGGGCCTCAACCACCTCCCTGGGCAGCCTGTTCCAGTGCTCCACCACCCTCACACTAAAGAACTTTCTCCTAATCTCCAATCTAAATCTGCTCCCCTCCAGCTTAAAGCCATTGCCCCTCGTCCTGTCACTACAGGCCTTTGTAAACAGGCTCTCCCCAGCCTTCCTGTAGGCCCCCCTCAGGTACTGGAAGGCTGCTATTAGGTCTCCCCAGAGCCTCCTCTTCTCCAGGCTGAGGTGGTGGCAGGAACATGGGTATCAAACAAACTCCCCAGTCTGGCTGGGAGACCTCCTTTGCACAGTGGTTTAACCACTTTGTTGAGATCTAACAGGGAACTTCTCAAAGTCTGCGTGTTATTGTAGATCCAGTCGGCAATCTGGACCTTTGTCAAGTTAATGTCATCTAGAAGGCTGAAGAGAAACCAAACACATAGCGAGGTGTATTTTCCAGCCGCAGCTGCTGGTGGGGGCTGGGATGCAGGATGGGTTGACCAGCTGCACCAATGGCCCCACCTCGATGGTCCACCCCCTTCAGCTGCTCCCAGTGTCCAGTATCTGCCCCCAGTTCCCACTGCTCTCACCATCCCTACAGCCAGTGGTGGGTGAATGGCCCCGCCAGCCCCTTCTGCCCTGGCCACAGGCAGGCGTTGCTTCATCTGGGAAGCTACAATCACGCATCCTTTTTCCCCTGTCTTTCTTTCTTTGCTTTGGACAGAGTATGGCAGTCTTTTCCTTGGGAAGACAAATCCCCACCCTTCCCCTTCCCACCATCCCATATGGCTCTCCTGGATGCTGCAGCATCCCCCACGTGGTGGGCCCCTGCTCCGCTTTGCTTCCCCTCTCATTGTTTTCACCACTCATCCTAAGCTAGACCTGGATCTGAAGTCTCCACACTTCTGATCTTGTGGAAGGACAGCTCCATTTAAAAAAAAACAAACAACAAAACAATTTAAAAACATTTCCAGAACTCCAGGACTTTCTTCCCACTTACTGGTCTTAAATTATAACTAAATGAATAGGTAACATCAGACCCATTGCCCACGTTCCAGGCAAACAAGTTACCTGGAAACACATGTAGATTGGCTGCATTTTTATGTAAGCTCTGCACACTGACACGTCCAGACACCTTCCCACTGCAAAAGGAAACCATCTGGGAATGGTCCGAGGGACAGAACCATGTCAGAGCTGCTCACCCACCACCTAGTTGTTAGAGATTCAGGTATTCCAGTGGGTACATAAAACAGATAACCAGTAAACTATCTTCCTCTAGCTTGGCTTTAATCTTACCATTATCAAAACAAAAATGAAAATCTATTAACTTTATCCTGTTTGCCTTAAAAGACACAATACACACTTTCAAAATATTTTCCTTGTTTAGATGATTAATTCCACATGGAGATAGAAACAAAAGACATCTGCCACGATCTGTCTATCTCAGATAGTAAAATGTGCAAAGGCAAGAAAATAGTGCATGAACGCTCTGAAGATCAGTGGGTTATTTATGCTGACAAGGACATGATACCTTATCCCACCTTTATAATAAGTTCTGATGGCATGTGTTAGTCTCATTACTTGCATAAACACTTGTTTTAGGAAACCAAATTATTGAAAGATTACATCAAAAAGGGTAATGGAGATGTGAAGCCCACACTTTTCTGCTTTTTATGCGTACGCGTCAGGATTTTGGAGCAAGCCCTAAGCTCTGCTGCAGCTTTTGGGATTTTACTCCCTGCAGCTGCTGCAGGGGCACTGGTGGGGAAGCGGAGTGGGGCGGTGGGGCTTGGTGTCCCGGGGAAACACCAGGGCTCTTCTACTTCTGTCACACGAGCACTTGCTGACCTTGGGCCAGACATCTTGCTGCCTAACCCTCTTATAAAATAGGAATGAGGATATTTAGCATGCTTGCAACATGGAAATAAGACCCAACGGGGAATTTCCTACTGGTTGCAATGTTGCACAACCAGGTGCTGCTTAACTCCATGCAGAGGAGGAAGACAAAAGAAGCAGAGAGATTGGGTGTGTTAAAAATAAATCCATGACGGCAGGGCCCAGGGCAGGCTGTCTTCAGCCAAGTTTGCGTATTGGTTACAGCTCCCCCAAGCTACATTTTCAAAGCACAAAAAAAAAAAAAAAAAAAAAGAATAAAATTTGAAGCGATGAGCAAGTGAAAGGCAACAGCATCCCATGACTCCTCAGTTTTCCACCAAACCAAGGTATTTGCAGGAGAAAGATAAGAATACTGGAAATGAGAGCCACCTGTTCCACATAGCCTGGAAAGTCACAGCTCAAGTTGGAGTTAAAAGATCAACAAGTCATATTGAACTCCTGGTTGAGGTCCAGAAAGATTCACAGCAAGTATTCCGACAAAGACAACACATTAGCTGAAAATAACACTGCAGCCAGCAATTTTAAAAGAAAAAAAAAAAAAAAAAAAAAAAGGAAATCTGTTCTGCCACAGGGGCTTGAAAACCTGTTTGTCAACAAATAATTAGCTGACACTCTGAATAAGTACATCTCAGGGGCTCAGTCCAGCTGTTCTTGCTTATCCAGCACCTCCCAGGAGCTCCGTCCAGCCACTCAGCACAGGAGAAGGCCCTAAGCTCAACAACCATTCTGACATTTACTGCTACAAAATTTAAGCAATTGAAGAATCTGTTTTATTTAACTTTATTAAGCTATTGCTGAGAACTTGGTACAGTTACCATATCTGTGCCAGACCCCGAATTTAATATCTCCTTTAGCCTAATTAAACTAATCAAATGGATTTAAATATACTCCGTTACCACTGAGCACAGCTGTTAAAAAGCTCTCGGTTAAGAGTCTGACCTCTCACATGAGTAAGACGGTTGAGGATAGAGATGAACTCTACAATTCTTAATATAACGGAGAGCTAGAGGGAACGGTCGCTGTGATTTAATTAAGCAGTGAGGTGCAGTGCCCATGTCTGCGTTGCGGAGGCTGCCAGCCAGAAGCAAGACCCAGCTGCGGGGAGCTGCTAACAGGCATCCATGGAGAAGCAGTCCTCCCAGGGCGAGCAGTAAATGACTGCAAGGCTACATACTTTTTCCTCCCTTTAAGGGAAAAGGTAGCTTTTGCCAGTTGTGTTTTTCAATTTGGGTTTTATTATTAGCCATTTAACTGCAGAATACATTTAAAAAATACCCATTCAGCTGTGTTTTAGCTGTCTGCAGTGAGTAGCTCCACTCCACTGACTTCAGCTGGTTTTCTCCTGGGGTTGCACCCTTGTGCAAGCTGTATTTATCAGCACATAACCCCTCTCTCTGCCTCTACGGGCCTGACGAGGCCTCATCTCCCTGCGGAGAAAAGCAGCATTGCACACCGGGGGTTGTCCCACCAACTTCTTTGGGAAACCAGCTCTGTCTTCCCTCCTCAAGGAGGTTTTCCTTCAGTCCTGGGCTGTGTTTCCCTGTTTGACTCATGAAACTTCTTCCTACAGGTATCCACCCGAAACGCATTGGCTTTACTCAAGACAAGGGAGAAATCTTGCCACCCAATACGTTCCAGGGGGGGAGTCTTAGGTCTCTTTTGGGAAGGTCCAGCGCTGGCTGGGCAGGAGGAGCCCATCTGCGTGGGTCCTGTGCAGGACAGGGGACATGCTCTGGGCACCAGGCCACTATCCTGCTCCTTATTTACCTGACAGCAGGAACATGGTGTTAGGACAACAAGCTTTCTGTGCACAAGTTATTATGGAAGGAAAAAAAATATATCTAAAAAAAACCCTAAAAAAATTTGAAGTGATAAAATATTCCTCATTGCACACCAAAAGCCAACCACACAAATCACGACGGGCAGTGGCGAGCACTTACAGCAAGTTTTTCCTGTTTTAGAGGAAGAAGAGACTGAAGAGGGAGGGACAAGTGGGAAGGGAGAAAGGGCCACAAAAAGGAATGGATTCCAGTGTGCCATTATGATCTTCGACCATTTTTCTCGCTGACAGGCAAATCTGCAGCGCATTGCAGGCCGATATGTGACAAGGAGTCAGCCAGAGAGGGAGGAGCAGAGGGAGATGCCACTTGAGCTGGCACACCAGAGGATCTTTAAATAGAAAAGCTTCCAGGGAACTCAGGGCAAGCGCTCGCTGCACAAAACTTAATTACAGCCATACCCAACCAAAACACCCCATTAGCAGACACACACCCCCCTCCCCAACACACTCACACACACATTTTTTATCCGTGGCAATTAGGGAAGGGAAGGAGGAAAGGCACTAAAGCCAGCACAAGGCCCCTGTCCTGTTATCCCCAGGACTTGTGCTTTGGGATGAAGCTGCCAGCTGCCCCCGAGGCCACGTGTCCCTGGGGAGGCAGTACCTGTTAGTCAGCTCCTCTGCCTCCTCCGGGTCCACAGCCTCCTCCTCCTCCTCTTCTTCCTCTTCCTCCTCCTCTTCTTCCTCTTCTTCTTCATCCCCTACGAAGGAGGAGGTCTCAGAGGCCCGGTCGCACTCGGGGCGGCGGTACCCCTCCATGCCCTTCCCAGCTCAGGCCCTCGCCGGTGATTTTTACCCCCGACCCTGTCCTCCCCAGGGTTGCCTGAAGCAACTGTCATCCCCAGCAGCTCTCGCTTCTCCTGACTCAGGACAGTCTTTAAATAGAAGGCAGCGAAGTCACAGCGCCGAGTGGCTGCTGGTCCCACCCCGGCTCCTACCACCAACCGGGTGCCAGGACACCCGCTGGCCATCTGTCTGGCACCTCGTCCTCTTCCCCGTCCTGCCGCTGCCCAGGAGGTGTTAGTACGGCGGGGAGAAGGGGCTGGGGCCCCAGCAGACCTGCCCCAGCCTCCTCTTGAGAATTTGGGGTGAGAGGCACGCGTGCAGGGGAAGGAGAGTGTTCTTGTGGGCCCCCACCCCCTAAAAAGAAGGTGCATTTAGCACATTCAAAAGCAAGTTCCACCCCTGAGCAGGCTCAGAGTGCCTCAAATGTGAGTTAGAGAGGTCAAATACAATTAGTAGTGGATGAGCCTTGGACACACGCCTTTAATAATCCATACCGTAACATAAATGGTATCAGATGCACTGTAGTTTTTAACACCACACAGAAAATACATTTGAACCGCCAAAATCTGTGCTAAATCACAGGACATTTCAAATTTTGCCTTTGTGTGGACTTCAACCAGTTTTCATTTAAAGCAAACTACATTACCATGTAGTTTTGATTAAGCCTCATTTGCCCTTTACTATTCTGCATTTCTCACAAAGTGCAGTGCTTTTCACAGACAAAATGGAAATACTTCCAAACTTTGCTAGCCAAAGTAATGGCTGTATTTAAAATTATTTTTCAGAAGAGACTGAGCAGCACCGATTTGATTCTAAATAAAGAACTTCCAAGTTACTTCAGGTATAAAACATGGTATACACAGTATAAGTCTAATCCCCCCCTCAAAATTTTTTTCTTCTTTTTTTTTTTCTTCAATTAAATAGCTGGTTATAAACCAGTCAACAGACTCTTCCTTCTAAGTACAGAAACAGCCAAGCAGGTATTTCTGAGTACAAGCTCTCTCTACGATGCTGTATTAAAACTCTACTGACAGATTCACTTGAAGTAAAACACTTCCTAAGCAGTACGTACAGATAGAACCTGTCTGCTCTCTTGACCTACGCACTGAGGTACACAATTTACAAGGGCAAAATGTAATTACTCAAAGAAGCATACGTGAAACTGGTACCAACTTAAAGTCCAGATTTTATCATAAGCACAGAGACGGTGTACCCAGCACAATGAAACTTAAGAGGGAGGACTTCACGTTCTTTACACTTGGAAGACCAGAGCTTTACAATCTTCTAGAAATGCTTATATACAAAGTACACATATATTGTATGAGTTTTGATTCAGACTTCAGCACAGTGAGTACCCTTTTACCAGAACGCCTTCCAATTATTTCCAGACCTATTTGTACTTCTCACAATTTAATTTGACCTGTAAGTTGACCAAAATAGCATATTCTTTCATGCACTTCCTACATGTATCATACCCTGTAAAATCAACAAGGGCAAGATTTATATTAAAACACACAAGGATTAAAGAAATCAGGACAAACCTAACAAAAACAAACACTATAAAAGACAGGTGAGAGAATGCAGAGCAAGCAGAGCCCATTAAATCAAGAGTGACATTCTCAGATGGACTTAAATTTAACAACAAATATACTGGGAATAGAGTCCAGTGACCCAAGTTCAAGTAAAGCATTAGTTCCAAATAAGAATTTGGGATGGTATTCACAAGCACTAGCTTCGGGTTATCTGCAAATCATCTTGCATCCTTTTATTGTGGCTGCTCGTTTCTTCCAAATAACCATACCTCCCTTCGAGCCTTAAAATTTGTTTACATTGAATTCTTTCTAAGGGATTTCTTAAAAATAACCTGCCATACTGTCAGAGCACCTTAAGGCACAGAGACTACACTTGCACAATCACATTTTGGGAGAAGTGAGAGCAAGAGAGCTGGAGGAGAAACTTCAAGTTTCACTGTACACAGCCTATGCAGTTCTGGGACTGCCGTTACTGAACAGGAAGCTCTCGCTAACGTTTGGTCCTCCCATGTCCCTCTGGGCCTGGTAATGAAACACGCTGCTAGAAGACTGAGTTCCTAAAATCCTAGAAGAGATACTAGCAGTTTCTGACATTGTATAAGGTGAGAACTGACAGCAAACCCAGTGCCAAAACGAGTAACCAAAACTGGCCGTAAAGTAACAAACAGAGCTCAACTATAGCATCTTTATTTCAAGCCAGTGAGAAGCCTCAGAGAAGTTCGCATCTTGCACACACGCTGAAGCCTTAGTCAGCTGTGAAAAACACCATATCAAAGGTCTCCCAGAAAAAAATTATTCCTTCTGGGGTGTATACCAAGGGATAGGCTTTTATTTTGAAGTTGGGAAGGGAAAATTTCATGCTTGCATTAAGATTTATGATAGACATTAGCGGATGTCTTGGTCTGGATACCTGCCCAGAGTAGATGAAAATCCAGATCATTAAAAGTCTGGACAACTTCAGACTATGCAGAACTTGATCAAAAGTTTTTTAAAGTTCAGCTCCTACTGACTGTCCCCAAACCATTTATTCTCTGGTATTTTATCTGAAGTTTTCTGATGAAAGTTGCAGCCCACCATTTAACAAATACCATTATGTTTGCTCAGCGTCGTCCCAGCGGCCTGGCACTTGCGTGGAAGACGGTGCTACTCTTGTTTGCCTTGACTGGGGAATAATACAATGTGACATCTGGTGAAATTTGTTTTCCAAACCTCTCAGATTATTTTTCTGTATGCGAGGGCACTGCCACATCCCCTGCTCCCCCCGGATTACCCACCGGCTGCTTTGGCTGTGAGCTGAACCAAGTCACACCACCTCGCTCTGCCGCCACAGGAAACCACCGGGGAGCTCCCCACTCCCAGAGAGGATGCCACAGACAGGCTCATCCCCAAACAGCTGGGGAAAACTACCATCTACACTTTCTGGTTATAAATGTAGCTTATCAGAAACACATAAGCTTGAGAAAAAAAAAATATTAAAATGCAAAAACATTCTTTTGAAAGAAACAGGGCCACTGTGGTTAGAGATCTTGGATTGTATTAAGAAGACCACTGAGTTGGTGGGTCAATTTTTACAGAGTTGCACAGAGGTACCACAACTGTTTTAACTGAAGCAGTTTGAACAGAAAGCAGTAATTTAAGGTGTGAGATATGTTGACACCTTAGGTGATGCAATGCAAACTCTTAAGAGATAGACATGCATAAAGTTTTGTGCCTCACATCCAGTGTTGGGAAAGTTTTACATTTTCCAGATAGCCAGCACCTTTTTTAATAAAGAGGAGACCTCCTCTCTCCTTGGAATCCATCTGGGTCTTGTAAGGCATCTTTGGATCCAGGCATCATCCTGTATTACAAAGTTGTGCTTCCGTCTTACATAAAGCAGGTCAAAGCGAGTGTTTCTCTGAGACCAAGCCTCCCATCTCACAAAGAGGAAGGGCAGTGACAGGGAACACAGGCATGAAGGAAGAACATTTTAGTGGATTGCTGGAGTCAGATTAAAACTGCAGGACTGTTCAGATTGCAGAAGGGTGTTGTTTTAAGAAGCAAGCCAAAATCTTACACAGACTAGATCATGATGAAGCACATAGTAAGTAACCTCGCAGCAGGCAAACAGTTTACAGTTTCTGGAGTTTGCCTGAGAAGAGTTAATGCTTGTTATTTTACACAGTTAGAAGGGTTTTCACAATCTTGATAGAAATGCCAGTAGTTGAAACTTTTACCTGTACACAGATGCCACGGAGAATAGCCATATAGAAGTTTATGACTTGCAACAGGGGACTTATCCTTACAGGCCATTTCCTTCACTATTTAATTATATTTTAAATATGCAGCACAAAGTAACATAAACCAAAAAATAAGGTGTATCTTCCATATACAAACTTTATTCCATCGGACACCATACAAAATATGAAACTTAAAAAAATGAGAATATGAATTTGACATTAATGGTAAGTACAGTTCTAACAATGAATTGGTCTTCAATAACAAATTTAGGAGAGGCACAAATTGTGCTACAGCAGGTCTAAAGAGGGTTCACAACTCTAGTTTTGGAACAGCTAAAATTTTCAAGGTTACTTTTATAAATTTAATTTACAGTAGCTGAGCCATTTACAAATATTTACACATAATTAAAACAGAAGTCCAGCCTATTGTTGTAGCAGTGGTAGGGTTGGGGTGTGGGGCTTTTTCCCTTTTTTTTTTTTTCACCATCCCCTCCCCTCCCCTTTTTTTTTTCCCCAAAGAAGACATCACTACTACTGCAAATATGTAAAAGGAAGCACTAAGAAGGATCTTGCTTACTCCATATAAATATGAAGCATTTATGTATATTGATTTGTCCTTTTTTATTTCATCATCTTTGCAGTAGACCTGTTGCTTGAAAATTCCAGTTTTGATTACAATTCTTGATATCTAGAACACTACCAACCATAATCTATCTTAATTTTCATAAACTGTTGCTTGTTGTTCCATGTAAAAGGGAAATAAAACTGGAAAGTGCCCAGTTGAGCAAAAGTGCTTAATGCAATTAAGCAGATGTAAAACAGAGGCTGGCTGTTCATCAAGAAGTGGGTACTATGAGCAATATTTTAAGGATATAGACAGACGTGCACATTATTTGCCTCTGAACGTCTTTATAAATGTGTCTGAATTAATGATTACACAGATACTGGAAACAACAAGTCACTATATCCCCATATTTTCCTTAAAATGGATTTATTCTTGTGGTTTGCTGTTTCAGTTTCTTCTATAAGTCAACAATGCAAGCACTTTCAGAAAAGATATATTTGAATGAACAGCTATATTAACAAATTTCAATAATAAAATATGCAATCTTTCTTATAAACATTTCCTTAACAAAAGTTTACAGAGAAAAACGTATCATTAAAAAACATGTGGTAACTGCTTCTTGATTTTGATACTCTTCTTTATTTCAGCAGGATCCAGGAAGAAGAAAGTGAAAGAAGTTGGTTATCTTTTCTGTATGACTGCTCTTAAAGGTAATACATAGTTCAGATCTTTCTTGTCTCCTAATATCCTCCAAGTCTGGGGAAAAAACGTACAAAGTTTTAACAGGCTAAATATTTTTGGCATTAATACTTAGATACCATTGTCAGCAGTAAGCCTCACAGACCCACAAAAACAAGGTCAATATTTTTCCCCTCTTGAAGGGAGTTTGTTTTGTTTTGTTTTGTTTTATTAAGGGAAGAAAAAACCCAAAAGGTACACAAAATGCAATGAAATATTAAGGAAGGTACAACCTTTCAAGAAGACAGTGGATTTGCGGAGACTGAGATATTAACATTCTTTAAGCATTACATTGATATTCTGACTGCAAAATAATTGGTTGAAATTCACGTCAGAGTTCCTGATATAAGATGTTATACTCTGACATTTCCAGAACTTAACTGTGTCTTTAAAATAGGTTATTTCAATTTTCATCTGTATTCTAGTGTGAATTCCAGGACACATCTGTCATATCTGTTAGGCCATGAACCTGCAAATAACTGCAGTGACCCTTCTGTCTTTACACAGTATTCATTTAAACTGCAATGTGTAATGAAAATCACAGGAAGAATAATCTCTCAGAGGCAATGAGACAAACAGATTCCTTAGACTTCTTAAAAAAAAAAAAAAGTGCATTATATTAATAAGTACTTGCGGTTTTAAGCAACTGTCATTCCTTATGGTTCCTAGTAAAGAGGAAATTTTTACAGGGCCAAAACACTCTAGGATATAGGCTTCCAGTCAGCGAGGATCAAACTGCTTTTACATTTTTCAGAAAACCATACAGGCTTTTTAATTGAAAACTCTGAAAAGAGAAGCTCACTCTGATTTCACAGAACAGTGACAGAGCCTAGACTATTTTGTAAACCACTGCTTTAGCAGATCCACCAAATCAAATATTTTATGTAAAATTAGGAAAACAGCTCAGTATTTTGTATGCTAGCATGCTTAAAGAGAAGGAAACTGACGTTTCTGAACAGAACTGCAAAGCAAAAAAAGTTTTACTTTTCTCACTAAGGCCACACCTTGTAGCATTTGTTTTATTACAAGTATCTGGCATTGATTTCCTTTTTTGCTGGAGAGGACCTCTAGATATTTAGGGAATTGATTAACTGGAGTAAACAGGAGCCTCTGATGACAGCACAATAGGGGTGTCTAACTGGTTTAAGCTGGAAGCCGCTTCTGTGCACTAATCCCTAGCGATAATTACATTATGAACAGTCAGAGATCTCAGGAAACTAGAATTTGAGCTGCAATTCCAAATGGAATGCCTGTGATAGGAGACAAGCATAACAGAGAGCTGGTACCAACGCCTAAATCTTTGCTTGCTTCAAAGTGCCCTTGCCTTCTCCACTGGCTGGAAGAGTGAAAGCTCCAGTTTGAACTCCTTATGTTCTAAAATTATGAGTGTGGTGTCCCTAAAGAAAAGTACCAATTTAAGTCAGTTGTCAAAAACCAGCAGAAAACAATCGGTGGCGATATTTATAAAAAAGGATAGGAACAAGTATAAAACATTGTTTATTACTAGCCAAATTCATGTAAGAAGAAATAATGAATGAAGATAAAAGTTGTAATTCTAAAGCTATTAACTATCATTAGAATTTTACATGCACAAGAAAATCTAAGACAAAGGGTTTACTATTTCAAGTACCCATTTCATAGAATCATAGAATCATCTAGGTTGGAAGGGACCTTAAGGATCATCTAGTCCAACCATCAACCTAAGCCTGACAAGAAATAAAATAAGAAATAAGCAATAAAAAAATTACTAAACCATATTCCTGAGGACCATGTCAACCTGTCTTTTGAACACCTCCAGGGATGTACCTCAACCACTTCCCTGGGCAGCCTGTTCCAATGCTTAATAACCCTTTCTGTGAACAAATTTTTCCCAATATCCAATCTAAACCTCTCCTGGTGCAACTTGAGGCCGTTTCCGCTTGTCCTGTCTCCTGTGACTTGGGAGACAAGACCGACCCCCATCTCTCTACACCCCCCCTTCAGGTAGTTATAGAGCGCCATAAGGTCTCCCCTCAGCCTCCTCTTCTCCAGGATGAACAGCTCCCTCAGCCTCTCCTCATAAGATTTACTCTCCAGACCCCTCACCAGCTTCATTGCCCTTCTCTGGACCCGCTCCAGCACCTCAATGTCTTTTTTGTGGTAGGGAGCCCAAAACTGGACACAGTACTTGAGGTGGGGCCTCACCAGGGCCGAGTACAGGGGGACAATCTCCTCTCAGGTCCTACTCACCACACTGTTCCTGATACAGGCCAGGATACCATTGGCCTTCTTGGCCACCTGGGCACACTGCTGGCTTTCAACTTAAGCCTGATGCTTAATGGCAGACATCAATTACTCTTACTAAATAATTAGACTTAATTACTCTTAGTAAATAATTGTCCACAATTTTTTTAAAAAAATACATTTCTATTATTTATATAGTACAAAGCATAAAAATATTCATAACACAAACATGAGAAACAGGCTGGTTCAATGACTAGCATTTGTACAACTATCGTGAAAACCAAAGTGACTGGAAAAATTAGATTAAATGTACTTTTTACCTGCAGAATTTCACTTCTGATCCTATCAAACTTCTGTTTTTCATGTACAGCTCTAGCAGTGTTTGTCCCATCAAAGGGCTCTGCAAGATCAAACACAAACATTAAAAGCATTAAAAAAACCTAGAGCTAGGCTGCCTTCACTGAGCAAGTCATCAGACAAAACCCAGAAGAGTCAACATACCATTGTTTCCCAAGGCTGTTTTGAGTGGCTGATTCTACTTTCCTTCTCAATCTTTATTTCTACATAACATTCATTCAAAAAAAAAACCCCAGAAGCCCCAAACCTGGAATGGTCCAGTATTATGTAATACATAATAAAGGCAGGTTATTATATCTATTGAAGCACAGCATGATTGTGCTGAACTTGTGTATCAGTAATTATTTGATACAGCTTAATAGTCTGTGATGACCTATTAGAATACGGTTTTGCATATTAAAATGTTTTGAAACTTCCTACACTTGTCCCTCTTTTAGAGTGTTCACTTTAATCGCACTCAGCAGCTTCTCAGTGAAATAAAAGTATAGTAAAATATTTACTATAACTTTTTATATAAGATGTATCCACTGCTATAACAATTTATTTTATCAGTTCATACCTATTCTACAATATCTATTCATAAATTAACAATCTGGGTCTTCCACCTTCTAACAGACTACAAATTTATGTGATGTTTTCCCTTTGTTTTTGCTAACTTAATTAATACTTTGGAACTTTTTATTTTATTGAAGGATTAAAAAAAGTACTCCCCGCTGCTGATAGGGTTGCCAGCATTAAAACAATGGATACTAACAAATAATGATGCAGAGACTATGCAATGCACTATGAGACAGATTTTATAATCTTTTTGCCTTACTAGAGAACTGCTTAAGTAACACGGTATATTTCACACTATCAGAATGTATGAAAGTCCTTAAGGGCCACAAAACCACAAAAGTATTTGCTAGATTGAGTAGCTTTTTTATTTGTTGGTTATTAATTGCTTTTATTCAGATAGGGACATATAGTAAAATAAAGCAATGAACAGATATCAGAAGGGCTTATGCCATTATGGAGACTAGGACAAATTTGGAACATATTCCATAGCACTGGGTTTTTACTTCTGCAAGCTATTTAAATTCACAAAGAAATAGTTTCATGCAATGAATGTTATATTTGGTAGGTTTCTAAAGGGTTTATCTTCAAACTATCTATCAAGTTTTCAGTGCATGTTTACAGGAAGATTTATTTTACTTTAGAATGCGTCATACATTTAGATTGGAACAAAAAACTAGCAATCAAATAAAAAAGGTATATAGTCCTCTGAAGTCAGTCACATAAATTGACACAGTGGCCTAGTGCCACTAAGAATTCCATGTCCCTTACCATGTGAAGCAGTACCGTACCTCTTTTGTGTGTCCTGAATATGATGCTGCCTCTTTAATGCTAGTACCTTTATGTACTTTGTGTTGAATCATGAGATATATTTTTTAAAGCAATAGGAGCAAAACTGTACAATCTTCTGAAACTGTCAGCAGGAAAAAGGTACTCTAGTCACAAAAGCTGACTCACATCTTCTTTTTATTCTTCCTGCATATTTACTGACTGTCAAAAGACAAACTCATTCCCTGTAGTGCAGCAAGAATAATTTTGCAATCAGCTACTATTTACACCACTACATTTTCTAACCATTTAGACAGAGTCCATCATGTTATTTTCTTCACATAGAGAGATAAGAATATTAAAAGAAAAAGGTAATACAACTTCAACACTGATGCTTGAAGGAAAGACTAAAGGGGATCATCTTTTCAAATGAAAATACAAGAAATCATAAAACTTCAAAACTGCTGCAATCAAGCCCTGAGAAATTATTTTTAACACATGAATCTGAAAGATTTTAAAGTAGAAACATGAATCAGGTGCAGCTTAGACAGCTTCTGGACCTGTTTCCGTAAATGACTATCAATTTAATTGTCTCACAAAATCACCACGTTTCTACCTTTTCCAAACTGTGTCTTTTTCCAAAGGAGAGTGAATGAAACCAGAGCAGTCGCTAGCAATTTAGAATTTCTGATTAGTGATGTTCACAAATATTACCTAAAAGCAGTGTTCTTTGTATCCCCATAATGAGAATCACCTGCCAGATTTTAAACTGTCTGAAAAGAGCATCTCTACTATATTTGTTTCTCTAACAGCAGAAATACAAGTGAGAATCAGTCTTAAGGCCAATAAAAATTAAGATGGAACACAATTTTTTCTTTGAGCAAGCCTGAGTACAGTGCTTCATGCAGAATTATGTCAACTTGCAGGCATAGACTCGTGTAATCTATCAACAAATAAATTTAAAATATTAAAAAATACATGCAATAATACCAATAACTGAAATTTTAGTCCGTTAACTGGAAAATCTGACAAAGACTTGGAAACCAGAATTTGTTGACATGTTCAGCTAGCTTTCCAAAGCATCTTACCAAAGTACACAAAAGTTTATCTACATACTTTGTTAAACTTGTTCAATTTAACAGCTGTTAAAAACATGAAGCCTACTTTGAGTTGAAATAGGAAATGTAATTTTTCCCTTCCAACTTAGATGCAAAAACTGGGTGTGTGAGGCTCTTAATACAGTCATGAAGCACATTGTAACATTAAAGAATGAGATGCGTCACCTATAGATAATTTTGCTTTAACAGTACAAATGCAAGATGCACTCTTAAGGAAAAGCTGTATGTAATCAGGCCCATCTAATACAAATTCTAGAATGCCTATTTTGTTTGCTGATATTTTATTTTCCAACCTGACAGAAAGCAAGCCTAATTACTCAACCATTTGGTAATGTCATAAAAAAATTGAGAGCTTGAAACACACAGTCGTCCCCCCTCCGCATCCCCCCCTGCCCTGCCACAGAGTGGGCTCAGCTTCATGTGACAGCAGCAGACACAGCTGCCCAGCATTCCCACCTCCCACATTCAGACCAGAGCCTTGGCAAGGCCTGCACTGTGCTATCCCAAATCATTTCAGCTGTGCAGATACTCTAATTCTCACATTTCTCTGCTCTGAGACTGCAGAGTCAAGCATGCAGCCGTCTTTCAGCGTATTTTTCCCCCCTATGACTGGTAGTTGATTCCCCTCCCCCCCCCCAAAAGTCAAATAAAGAACAGGAATCCGATCATGTGGCTTTGCACTGATGCACATATGATTACGGCCAAGTTGGAGAGCTGCAGGCCACATCACCTCCCACCTAGCAGGTAACCACTCTCTGCACAGAGCAGCGCAGATGCAGGAAGGTACACGCACACTTACACGCACGCACGTGTGGGTGCACTCACACCCCCAGCAGTCCTGAGGAATGTCTGTTCCAGGCACAGGACTTCTGCCTTATCCCTCTTCTCCCCCCCAGCAAAGTCTTCCCAGCCTCTAATAACTCTTTCCATACCATTTGGCTCCTGTCCAAGTTCTATTCCTTTTTTTATCCTAAGACTTCAGCCCTTGATATCCTAATAGCCTCCATTTATTTACAGCTGGGGCCCAGGCCACCTCTCCCATTTCAAACCTTCCCTCTTCACCCCAGTGTCATATACCAGCTACCTCTAATTCTACTCTCATTCCACTTTGGTTTCTTATCCCAGGTCCCTTGTCCAATCAATTCCCCTCCACCTGCTGCACTCTGATTCTCACTTCCCTTTCTTATCTCTTTGTATTAACAGTTTCCAGCTACACCGCACCTCTCAGTCCCTTCCTTACTTCTTTTTGCATTCTCCTAACATCTCAATCCTTATCTTGGCCTGTTATCTTCTCTTTCCCTGGTCCAAGCTTCATCTCCTACGCATCCTAGCTACTCATCTTCTCCACATATATTTCCCATGGCAGTGGAAAGGCATCACAAGCAGGTTCCCCGTCTAGTGCTATTGCCCAGTTCCACCTGCACTGAGAAGGCTGAGACTTGCCCTCAGCCTGGGCTTACCCTCCAGTTCTGGAGGGGATCATACAACCTTGGCAGGAACTGTACACACACAAGTGAGCCAAAAATAGTAGCCACAAGGGGACTGATATACACATAATCTAGTCGCTGCTAGGACTTGGGATGCCAGAACATTTCTAGAACAAAGAATATTCTTAGAGAGGAATCTGAGTATGTGCCCGCTGAGTTTTTTCAGAAGCTCAGTCTTGGCAAAACTGACGACTAATTCTGCGGAGCAGGAAAACACACACTACTGTCATAAAGGCCATTCCTTGTCAAAGTTCTAATCCCTGTTCCAAAAGTAACAGGGCAATGAGTGCTCTTGAAGAAAAGGTCAGGGGAACTATTTTTAAACACTGCAGAACTTAAAGCTTCCTTCTCAAATGTTTTTGGCAGGACTGTTTCCAGGACTATTTACACTGGTTAAACTTAATTTTCTACATAAATATATTACACATCTGCATTATTAAAACACAACCAAGGTAATGGCTAATTGACAGATCTATGTATTTGGTGTCTTAACAGTTAAAAATTATAATGCAGCTTTACATTTTACCTTCTACACAAATAAATTTGTTTCTCCATTCAGTACCATCAGGTCTTGGAATAGCTTTGGCTTCACGAACTGAAATCATTTGGTGGCTCCAACTAGGGAAGAGAAAAACAATTTGTAGAACTTTTAGCTCTTGATTCTAAATTAATATCAGTTTACATTAAAAAATTGTTAAATTGCAATGTCATAAGCCCGGATAACACAGCCCTTTATAATAATGAGTAATTTAGTGTAACAGTCTAATCTCTAAAATTCACGATATAAGAGTAAGGAATGATGGGTAGGAAGCAGGAAAAATTCTCCACAAATACAAGTTTATTTACAAAAACGACTGCAAAACAGAATATTACGGGTATCCATCAGTAACTTACATTCATGACAGAGTAATTTTTTTCAAAAACAACGTCAACTCAAATACAGACACCGACATTTATTTCTAAATTATAATTTCTAAGAAATTATAGCCTTAGTTCTATCTTTTAGAATTTTCTGTGGGGAGAAAAACAACATAAGGAATTTAAGTGCAGAAGAAGTCACACACTGCAGTCCATTAAAAAAAACATTCAACAATATATATAAAGATATACAATGATAGCTTGCTTGCAGGTCAGCATTCCTGGTGTAAGGAAGCTGTTATTAGAAAGCACTAACTCTTCATATATGCTGAATTTTACATCTCCTACAAGTATAACAACAGAACAACAACTCAAATATGCGTTTGAAGATATCCTACTGCTTTCTGCACACAACTTTAAAACAACAAAGCCATAGGAAATGACCACACTGAAACAGCAACAGCAGGCAGTTTATAGGGCAATCTTTACCATGTGCCAAGCATCTTTATGATCTTTATGATGCCTGGCACAACCATCTGCGAAACGGAATGCAATCCAAAGCAACCACTCACAGTTTTATGTTCTTACCTACCCAGCCAGTTTTCAGATGCTCTGAACTAAACCAGGGAACCACCACAGCAGCGAAACGCCTGGATCACCGACAACACGTCACCATATGCCCTGACTAAATGGGGCTTAGAAACAGCTGGGCAGCGTGCTGCTAGCTCTACTGGTGTTATGCACACCTGACGCGAGCTCCTGACTGAATCAATCTTTTGACATAATGCAAAGAGAGAGGAGCTTGGCTGGGTGCATCAGCCACCTGCAGTAAATCTGTAAATATCAACTGTAAATCAAAATACAGTTATAATTCATCAGTTAAATCTGGAAGAACTCCGTGCTCCCTAGGCCACAGATCAGCTGTCATAACTCCATTAAGTCAGTGGTGATAAGACAGTTTACACCAGCTAAAAATCTGTGCCTGTAATTCTGCAAATTATCTTGGATATAACTCATGACTAAAACCACTTACCAAAGTCAGATGTTTGAATAACTGTAATTCTGTGGAACACATACATTATTCTTCTATTTAAGAATAGGAATAGGACCTATTTCAAAATGGTGGGGGACAAAGCATATGAAGCATAGTTTAGGATACCTCAGGTTACTTGTTCACTCACTACTGCGTATATTTAGATTTCTTGTGATATATTCTTTAGAAAAATAGGTGATTATAATTTCCATTCATTCTAACCCATCACTCTTCTCAATTCCCATAACAGACTACTTTTACAAGAACTAGAGATAGCGTGAAACACCAAATACTTTCCTATCATGTCTTTTTAATAAACTACCATCACAAGCTTATCAAGAAATTCAGACGAATCACTCAAAAAAACCCAACAACTCCACAAAAAGACAAAAAAGAAAAAATACGAGACTAGAGCATCAAAGAAACTTAAACTGCAGCTCCAGAACATTGGTCATGAGCAGAAGAAGCTGATAGTTCTTATGCTTTTTCTAAAAACTGATTTAAAAATCAGAGAGAACTAGGTCGGGGGGGGAAAAAAATAAATCATGGAACAAAGTATTTGATCCGTGTTTGGGTAAACCAGGCACTATTGTTTCACTTCAAACATAATTCTTCTCTTGACCTTCTTTTTCTAGGTTATACTTGGCTAGATTCCTCAGCAAAAAATAAATGTGTTTATAATACACTGGTTTAGCAACAAAAGCAACAAAAAAGGTGACTTTTCTAGCTATTTAAACAGCTTTTAATTTAAACTTGAAAACAACTATTTTACCTAATGGTCTCATTAAATCTTTACCTGCTCTGTCTCGATACCAAAATCAGCCTGAATTAGAAATGAATTACCAATGCCAAATGATTTGTGCATCAATTTTAACCATTTTGGCTCGCACACAGAAACTTCATTATTGTCAACCCAAGGCAAATATTCTCTGTATACACACGTTCAATCTATAAGCTAACAATAACCATTTAAATAGCTATTTCAATTATCAGTTATTTCTGGTGTCACTGCCCACATTAGGTCTGTGCTTCTCACGGAGAAGGCAAGAATTTGAAAGAAAAAGACCGGGCATTTCCAGGTCTGAGTGTGTATGAATACTCTACGAATAGATTAAAAGGCTTATTTTTTCCAGAGCGTTCTTATAAGCCAAAGCCACTTGCACAAACACACTAAGATGCATACAAATTGCAAGCATATTTAATTCAATATACTAATTAAAAATGATCCCTTTATTTCCTGAGCAATTCTACCCTGAAGAGAGCTGTGAGCAACTGTAATTTGTATTTTGCCATAATGTAATCAATCTTTTATCATGTCCACCAAATACAACTTAATCAGTGAATGATCGTAAACAACTGTCAAGTAACTTGAAACAATAAATTTAAGAGAGTGCAGTCCTAAAGGACAGTCTTTAGGTTCCCTACCAGTAGCTTCAGGGGAGCAAGGCCATGCTTCAAGGTCTCGCTTTGTACAGAGACAGCCAAGTGAAAACCTGCTGCCTTCACTCACAGCTGCAGAAATGAAATCAGACACTCTTTCCAGAGGGCCTGGTAAACATGGACAAGTTTCCAAATGCTTTCTTTTGAGAACACCTCTATACATTTTTCACTTGGCCACATTCACTCTATGATCAGCAGACCTTTGATGGTTTGAAATACTTTAACTTAAAATGGAGCTATAAGCATACTTTTAGCCAACTGTCTCATGCAAAACATTACGCAGACGTGAACTCTTAGGGCAAGCTGATTATACAATCATGTCAGCAAATCAAGCTTTGCCATATGTATTGTGTAAATCCAATGTATGTAGCAATTTCCAAATCACATCGCCAGTAACCTGTGAAGTGGGATAAAAATTACTTCCTACGGACACACCAAAAATCCCAGAGTAGGACTGTGGAATGTGCACTGTATAAACACATGGTAACCAGCAATTTTCTGTAAGATCTTACAGTCTAAATAGACTAAACAGATTAAAAGCATAAGGGAAAAGAACACAGCACAAGGAGATAAACTTATTCATGGCTGTGCAGTTGCAAGGTTCCTGTTTCTTCTTTCGTGCTGTTCCTGTTTCTTCCTTTGTGCCCTAGTCTTTGGGCTCACCCTGCCTTTAAATACTATTCACTACATCAAGTAAAATAAAATATAGAGTTTAACTGAAATACCTACTGGCCTTTGCTGGACTGAGGGGGAAGTTTTACACAACGTATCTCCATCTGCCCTTCATCTTCCTGACCAATACAAGTAACATAGTCGATCAGTTAAGCATTCCAGGCAGGTGGCGTCAATGACTCATTCTGTCCAAAACGGTGATCTTCACACATGGTCTGATCATTCTTAACTGCGTGCTGTTCTTTCAGCAAAACAGATCCTGTGTATCAAACCTGGTGCTTCCGTGTCCTAATCCATCAACAGAAATCTACAGAAGTCACTTCTATGAAAACTGAAGTAGTACTTTCTTTAGTAATCATCTTTTAATCAAATGCATTAGTTTCACTAGTGAAAGTTCACCAGCACAGTACAGTCATTTAAACGTGACCTGACTTAATAGTGACAGTGTTTGAAATACCATCTCAAAATTTCTATGCATATAAAGACTAGTAAATGTTCTACAGGTAAAGCAAACACGGAAAAAAAATATTGATTACAGCAGTGAAAACAATCAACACATTAAGGAGTAAAATATTAGTTCTTCCATGAAAGGCAGGACTTAAGAGAGCCCTGTGTTGCGTGTATTTAACTCTTATCCTCATTCCCACCCAGAGTGTTGTTTCCATCAGCAACCTTAAAGCAAAATAACAGATACTGTGGATAGCATGACACTGTACTCGTTCTCATCAGCTGGCTACCACACACATGCAAAAATGTTTACACATTATGTTCTGCCCACCTTTTCCCCAGCATGGGCATTAATTTGGATTTCTCTTCTCCAGTCAATTACCAGTTTTTATGAAACTATATGAAATTGCAGTATTTTCAAGACATACACCCTCCTCCTTCCCAACAGGATTTATAGTTGTCAGGGATGAACAGTCAAGTAAACACTACACTTGACTAAGCTTTATTTCTGTAGCAGAGAGAATTAAAAATAATATAGACTGCTGAATTAGGTGCATCATTTCTTGATATAACTTCTCAGCTATGTAACATACTCATATACAGGAATTCTAATGGTTGTTTTTACAATTTTTTTGGTGTGGTGTTTTTTTTGGTGGTGTTGAAGGTTTTTTTGTGGTTTGGGGTTTTTTTTGTTGTTGTTGTTTTTTCTTTTTTTTAAAAAAACAGAACATCACCAGTCAAATGTTTAAATACTTAACACTAGAAAAACAAGCCTGGTGTTCTTTTTTTGCTTGGTTGTTTTCTAAAAATCTTTTCTTCCCCTGATGTCAGCAACTATCCTATCTTCATTGTCCTCTTTTTCAAGCTTTGTTTTAAGCAGAAGCTCCCCTGTGCCTCTATGATAAAATTTAGGTAACAGTCTTTCGTCATCTATGATCATCACGAAAAATAATATTCAAGGATTACCCTCAGTTCAAGTACTGATATTGCAGTCTTCATACTTCTTAGTATACCCTTCATGTCTAATAGCAGGCAAAAAAAAAAAAAAAATCCTAGACCAGCTATTGACTTATGCAGAAATCTGCTCTTAACTATGTTCACAAGTATGCAAACCGGGAAAGTCTAATTAGATATTTTTCCTGCATTTGGACAAGATCCTCTCTACTAGTTTGCACAGGCAAACCAGAAACTTTTTACTTAAGGGAAAAGATATTTACTTTCATATATGAGAAGATTAACAGCTCATTATACAGACAAGTAGTAGAGGATGCATCTAGTGTCCCACATAATCAGGAATTTGAGGATATGCCCAGCCAATGTCTTCTAATTTCCCTGTTTAGCAAACAGCACCTTGCCAGCTGAAAGGACAGGAAAAACTCAGGAGAAATTTTTAGGACAAAAAGAGCATTTCCTGATCTGCAGAGATCACTGAAGGGAAATCCTTTACGTGAAAATCACTCAGAATCAGGTTTAAGTATGCACAAAATGTAATTAGTTCATTAATTCCCACAGACCATATGGATTTAGCTTACATGTTCCCCAGCGATGTTTTCTTACAAGGATTTCATTATTGTTCATTTCTTACATTGAAGTAAAAGATGGAATACTTCAAAAATTATAATGAATAGCCAGCAGTTACATATTTTGTTCTCCTTCTGGGAAACGAATATGGTGCACATACACAGGAAAGCAACATGTATGAACCAACTGCCTCAGCAACAAGTTATTTAGAAAATCCTTAAGCTTACTGAAATATAACCATTTGATACTCTATATGGACAATTCTATATGATAGATAGTTCTATATGATATGGACAGTTCTTATAAGAAATTCGCAAGTGACAATTTGGCAAAATGTTCATCATCTACAGTTTTCTCAGGTGCCCTCACAACTTCAGCATCTCCTCTTCTACAAAAAAGTCCAGATTGTAAAATTAAACACAGATTCTACCAAACCAGCAAGGTTGGTGAACCTGCTATATACAGGAGAATTCTTCACTAGGTCAATACCTTAAACTACAACCACGGATATGCAGTTTTCTCACACATGGATATGCGGTTTTAGAATAGTGTAATAGAACAAAATTCAGCTATTTTTAAAGGACAAGGCTCTCTAACTTCTGGCAGCTGTTTTACAGGATAGGATGCTTGGCTAAACAAAAGATGTCTTTATCAGCATTCCCATTAGCATGTTAAGTGCTGATATACTGAACAGAAGGAATCAAAGTTTTGCGTGTTCTAAAACACTAAGATGAGCTTATTACTTACTCAAATTCTGTGGCATAGTACTTGAAAAAGCCTATTAGCAAATCTCCAAGGCTTGATCCATTTTTTGAGAGATAAGGAGGAATAGTACGTGGAACACGATGAACAAGATGCAGCTGCATAGTAGGATCAAAACATTCCTGTCAAAATAAAATCAGAGACCATGTATATACACACACAGAGAGAGCCTTAATCTAGGTGCATATATTTTTCACAATAAAAAAGCCACCTATCATTTGCCTATTAGAGGTTCAAGGACAACTTACAAGCAAAGGACTGTTTCTCTTTTGCTCCTCTGTTGGTTACTAGTTACTCCCCCTGAGCTCAGGTAGAATCATCTTGCTCAGGAACATCTGAGACTATCCCTTGCCTTCTGTTTGCTAAAGAAATTCAACATGGATAATCTCTGAGCTGGACTTGCCTTTACGTGCTAGTAAAACCACATGAGCAGAAGCTGAGTAAGGCAGCCTGCACTGAGTTGCCTGCAGCTGAACTGAGACAGGGTAGGTGAAGCTAATGCACTTATTGCCAAGTTCCCGTAACTGCGGTGTAGAAACAACCCAAAAGGATGGCCTGACTTATTTTTCCCACAGCACGGAGTTTAAATTGCATATGAAGCCCAGTGGCTCTAACATGAACCTGCATCCTCCTGCATAATGAGTTCAAAGACTGCAGCAGCATCCCCTATAACCAACCTATCTGAAAGAATAATAATAATAATAAAAAGTTATAGAAAAAGCATGAATACACAGAATGCAGCATCTAAGCTGAAGATTGCCTTTCTTTGCAGTGGAAGGAAAAAGGCAGGGAAGAAAAAGTCAGGTTTGCTACAAACAAAAGTCACTATTTCCAGTTTAAAAAGGAATCTACACAAGACTAAATCAACATGGTTTTATATATGTTATACAGTTTGGGTGTCCATCTCATCCTTTAGGTTCCTCTGAGAGACTGGGGTAAGTATCTTCTCTTGCTAGAGAAACAATTTTTAAAAACTGGTAACACCAGGGTACTACATTTTACAGCAATGTTGTGTATTTTAAGGAAAATGAACCCAAGATAAACAAAAGCAAGTTCTACATTCACATAAAGAAATGTATCTATGTAAATTTAGGTACCTGTTCAGTCATTACTGTGTCTCCCCTCCCACTCCTTTGTTATTTTAAAGAGTAGTATCAGGCATGACTCAAACTTTACAGTACTTGAATACCACTGGAAGCACCGTAGACTGTAGTACTATTTCCATGTTCACAGCTGACAGTGCTTCCTCTGAGAATAGTATGATCAGCGATCAGACCAGCAAGACTGGAAAGTTTGGGACTCCTGTCCTCTTTTGCCAAATCTATCAAAACTTGCTGGAACCTTACACAACACCTTCCAGCTATGAAAAAATTCAGGTCTTGTTCTCACATGATATAACTTTGCATATATTAACATCACAATTAATTAAATATATAGCTAGCAGAGCTCAGAATCTAACAGCTTACAATCTAACAGAACACACCAAAAACATGGAGACAGACAGACAGAAAAAGCAGATGTGCAGCACATAAAGATCTAAAAAGGGGAACAGCTGTTCTTATGCCATACAGTTTTAACCCCAAAGGTAATCAGGCAGGTACTAGAGTGAAAGTCACTCCTTGCCCATTCCCAGAGAAAACTGTAGAAGGCTCACAACAAATGAATTTAGTATTAGCACTGTAACAGCTCATGAGGAAATGGACACCGGGGTGGAGGTAGGAGTGGGGTTGAGAAGGGAGAGTGAGTAGGGAAGGAATGAGAACAAGGGCTGGTGACCTCCAGAAATGCAATGAAATTACTACAACAGATGTCTCCTAAGACTAATAAGTAAATGTTTGGAGGCAGCAAGCATTTTTGAAAAGGAGAACATGACCCTTTTTTTTTTCAAATGCTTTGAATGTTCAAATGCCTGAGAACTTCTCAACGGCAAGAAAAATCTACCACCACAGTGAGGTTGCATACTGAGCAGCTAAAAGGTTAGACATTGGAATATTATTTTTCAGGATTATAAATAAGCTATTTTCTTTAGTACTATTACAAGGTTAGAAAGGATGTTGCTTTTTCCTATCAATCTTGACCTTAAGTACATTTTGATCACAATTAATTACTTTTTATTAATGTCTGTGCATCATCAATAAGAAAAAATAAATCAACAGTTATACTACTAGCAAGAGGCAATATATCAAATACAGTTGTAATAAAACTTTTGGAAAAAAAAAGGTTTCCCTGCATATGTATGCTTATACCCAGAAAAAATGGAAAAGCAAAAGCCTATAAAATACTGCTTTATCCAAAGCTATTTTTTCAGTAAGACTTGTTAGCAGTTAATGAAATAGGAAGTTACAAGACATTGCAGAGGTTTAAAATTGCAAATCTGTACTTTAAAAAGGGTGATTATGATAGAACCATAGTCCAGATGAAGGCACTTTTCAGGATATTTAGTTTCTCTTTTTCTTCACTGAGTTTACAACTGATCAAAAGTCATGTAAGCAGCAGTGATTAAACTGAAAGTCTCCTAATTTGAGGAGCAGGAAATGAACCACATTCCAAAGATTCCCACCCATGGCAGAAGAGATAATATTCCTAACCTGCACTGGAAGCCAATTTTTTAAATCTTCATTTTGCAATTAGGATTAAAACTCTTCAATCCTGCAATCTAAAATTATGATGCTTAAACTTTTATTTTTATTTTTCAAAAGCAACTTCAATTTAATGAAACCTGCAGTTCCGAGTTTTACCATATGTATTAAATACACTTGCCTCACAAAAGTTAGGCAAATCAAAGTTTTCTTTAATCAGAGAGGCAAAAACCCCCCACATATTATTCTATATAAATGTAAAAATGCAAGTTACAGTCTATAGCAGCTAACTCAACCCTAAACCCAAGCACCTATTTTAAGAGACAACATAAATAATTCCCATCTCCCTGTATTTTAGGGGTTATACCACTATGAAAAGGACTCTTAAAAAGACAACTAAGTATTACAAAAGGGAAAGCATGACTGAAACTACTTCTGGAAGAAAAGAATATATACAGCTTATAGATTCTGCACATAAGGGATGTTGCTAATAAAACAGAATTACATAGCATTCCTAGCTTAGTTTCAAGTAGGCCTTCCCTGTAAGAGTTCCCTTCTTAACTTGCTGTGGCAGCTTCTTTTAAAACTAGTCCCTAATTTGCTTGCCGTTTCTTAAGATGGCATGAAGCCATCTTAAGAAATGGCACAGAAATTCAGGATCTGATTAAGCAACAAATATAAATGAGCTATCCATTATTTCAAAATACTCCCAAGTATTTTTTTTGCCTTTTTTTTTTTTTACTGAGATCTCTGGGTTGGCTGGTTTCTCAAGGAAACACTAGAATTCAGCAACATGCTTCATGTTCAAGCTACATGCTTACACATATTCTCATTCCACCTTACACACTGGAAAGGAACACAAGTGTACATCAAAAAAATCTTTGCATTTGAGTATCTTGATGTATAATGTGTTTAACTCAATGTACAAAATTATTCCTTCAAAAAAAGTTTACAGTGGTAACATTAGCATAGGATCCCATCATTTTTGATAGGTATCTATATTTGCACACATAAAATAGCCTCCCCAGTCTTACAAATGAACATTTAACTCATGTTTATACTTTTAAAATGTGCAACTAACTCAAAGAGTGAAGCAAATCATGTCTGTCCAAGGACACACTCCCATGCATGAAGGAGCCATCACACCATCCCATCTTCTGTCCCACCATTTGCAAGATGTGACTGCCTGTGAAGCTGAGACGGCAAAAACAAAACTGTGCTCATGCTAGAGGTCATAAGGTTCACAACCCAGAGCATCAGTTGAGACCCACTTCCGTCTGGATTTAAGCTAATATGCCAGGCTGCTCTGGAACATTGGAGATTTGGGCACACATTCCCTGCTGCTCACCTCTGGCAAACACACAGGCAAAACAAGCAGAAGCCATAATGGCCTCAAACACCACAGTGCTCCAGAGCTTGTCTGTAAAACTCCTGACTTGGAAGCAAGTTCTATATAGGCTTCAGAATTGATCAACACATTTTGTGGGCTACTCTCAGCCAGCCCATCTGGCTGGGGGGCAGGAAGCCCCAGAATCCAGTCCCACATCTGACATGGTCCAATACTTCCTCTAAACCAGGGGCTGCAAAACACAACAGCTTGGTGCCAGGTGGAGGCTCCCTCACAGCAATAGAATGCTCAGGTGGGCAGATTTGGTGGCATTTCAGGACTCACCCTTCTAATCTACAGTAGGGACACTGTAAGTCAGGGAATCTGCCTTTGGTTTCTCACTCAAGGTAAGCAGGTCTCTTTTACACAGAGCCTACAATTTAAAACAAGCAGTTTCTTTCAAAGCACAGAAATATTTTCAGGTTGCATAAAGAGTTGCAGACTTGAATTTGTAAAAAACAGATTGCAGTTAGGGTGGTTTGTTTCAGAAGGGACGAAGAAGTGTTTATGTGTAGTGCTAGGATGGAGACACAGCTTTCACCAGCTACAAGAAAAACATACGGTTTCTCTGGATACTGACATCTGCCCATGCTTTGTAATTATTACTTCAAGTTAAAAGACCAGAATTGTTTTGGTGTATTCCTTATTTTAATTTTAAATTTCTTTGCAAGATCACAATTCAGAAATTATAACTTTCACAATTTTTAAACAGTTATATTTCTAATGGATACAGTAGACAAAAAATATATTTGAAAACTTCTAGCATTACTTTTTAAAATCCTAATCCGTAGTTTTGATTTGGTTTTATAGTAAGCATGTATAAAATATTCTTTTTATGTTATTAGCAATCCTACAATATTTAGTCCATCCTCCAAAGGCAAGATAACTGACAACAACAAAAAATCTACACTGAAACAGGATAAAAAACATTATTCTTATAGCAGTGTTCTAGAGCCCCAGGAACCTGCAAGTAATTTACCACTTTCACACTACACAAGGTAAAAACTTGCATTTAGCACAAAGTCATTAGATTTTTCAGCTTAAGGTACTTTCACTTTAATCATTTAAGCCACTAGTATTTGTATAGTCCTCTGAAGGCCTTTACAAAGTTCAAGCACTACAAATATAATTGTTACATAAAATATAAAAAATATATAAATATCAAAGGAGTCGTTACCAATCCTTCCAGCTCTTTTCTTTAAATTACATGCTACTCAAAACTTAAAATGCTACAGCATGTGAGTGTTAAGCAAACATAATTAGCACTAACAATGAAGAAATTAGAAAGTATACAGTACAGTAAAGAATCAGAGAAAAAAGTAAAGACCATAATAATTTAGGACAGGTATACCTAAGCACGTTTACAAAATAGAAATAAAACTGCAGTGTACTGTGGCTCAGAGCTTTCTTCTGCACCTTGATTATGCTAATTACCCAAAATGGCTGACACCATGGCATTTTCTCCTGGATCTGCAGTGCCATCAAACATTCCCCCTTCAGCATTATGGGAAATGCAAAAGAAAGAACGGCTAATACTATCTCAGCACAATTATCAGCAATAGTAAAAAAAATACATAGAAAGGGACAACCATAGCAACTATGAATAAAGAAAAATTTTAAGTGACATGTAAGAGGAAAGGTAGGGAGGAAAGAATTGAGGAGTTTCTGTGAATAAGTTATAGCATAGAACTATTCAGCAATAGCTCCTTTGTCCCCAGACAAATATTTAGGAGGCTAGCTCTTATTTCTAAGTAATCTTCCTTAGACTAAGTCTCACTAATTACAGTTCTAATTCTGCAGAGGATCAAAGTATACTGTTTCACAGAGTTCTCTGAAAATTAACAGAGTATGATCTGGACATAACAGCAAAGCCCCCAAAAGTCACTTTCCTGTTGGACTGAAGCCCAATTTTATAAAGTCTTAAAAGTCTCCTTAGTAAACATACACCATTCACTCTCTGCACCCAGAAATATCAAGCAACTCAGCAGCTGTGGGAAGCTGAAACACCATAGCTGGATGGAAAACACACTGCTTAACGTATTAAGAAATAAGAATCAGAAAGTTACAGATGACACAAGGATATTTTCAGGCCAGCATAAAGAGAATTAGGTCAGCAGCTCTCATTAGCACTCATTTCCAACTGCGTGTGAAATCTTCTTATATATAACAGACTGCTTTCGCTAAAGAAATGATAAAAAGCAGCAAATAACCATTTTCACGCTTACTTTAGTGTATCAATGACCAGGCTTACAGGCTGTGTTTAACTTAATCCATTAGAAATATTTAAGAGTTCATGTATTTTAGAGAAGCGGCTTCATACACATATATGATGTAGTAAATTCATAAGAAACACTTACTGGGTAATTTTTTTGGAGGGATGGAAGGATGGGTTCAGGTAGGGCTATAAAAAAAAAGTTTAAAATTGCTGTGATTCATGTAATTCACAGGAAACAATATCATATCAACTACATCAAAGGGTTGGACTGAAATTCCATCTTAAAACATCTATCAAGGGCTTTACTTGCATGCATTTTGTAAAATAAAAGTTATTCAGCAAATCCTTTTATTACTATATTTTGTATATAGTAGCATAAGAAGTTAATTCAGCTAAGGGAAGCTGTTACAAAGATACTACTATTTGCAGAATACATGAAAAATTCTTCAGCAGCTGGGTGCTACTTCATTTTTAAAATTCATGTTAATTCATGGCTATAAGAAATTAATCTAGATTCCCTAAAGGAAAAAAATTGTTTTGGTTCGGTTTTTTGTCTACATCTAATACAATATGATTCTATCACAGCATAGGAAGTCTCCAGATACTACAAAAGTACACATTCTTCAGATGTAAAGGATTACATAGTGAGTCTCCAAAGGTAACCTAAAGATAAAATGCCCAGTGGACTTAGTAGTCATTGCTAGCAAAATCTCCATAAAACACACACATACATTCTAATGCTGCTAGCTGGTCTCCTAAACAGCAAGCAGGTTATAGAGATTATGCAGGCATTAACGACAATAACAAACACAAAATGAACTAAACAGTTGTAACTTTAATGAAAGTCATGGATGGGAGAGTATATATTGCACAATACAACTATCAGGGAAAAATCTTATGCGCCAGATTAGGTGGTCCTACAGATAGACAGAAAAAAAAATCCCATTGGTATTCACATCCCACGCAAGTCTTAGAGCAGCTACAGAACTGTTAGAGCACTCCTTATACTAAAGCTTTAATGTCATGTCTTCAGCACTTTTTTTTAAGAACTGGCTTACATCATTCACTAGGGAGAACAATAATTAAGTTCAGCACACAGGACTTTGACTTGGGACTTTAGTCACCCTTCAGACAAGGTCTCACAGGGGATGAGATGTTACAGAATCCTTTTTCCAAAGGGACTAAGAATCAGAACAGCAGAATTCTCAGAACATGCTTGGGACATCTTCAAAGAGTTTACTATATTAACTAGCAAGACTGCTAAGAATATGATCACAGCTGCTTTAATAATATTTTTATTTTGTTTGTGGGTGTTTAGAAATATGCAAGAGCATCTTATTTCTGCATCATCTTGGATAATTTCCAGTTCTCTGCCACACTAGAAATAAAAGGCAACAAAATCTGAGCAATACAAGCAATCAAGAAATTTTATATTAATCTGTTTGCTATACTAAGAGGATGGATTTAAGGGGAAAAGTTATCACTTACCACTAGAATTCACTACTTGATTTTTTCTTTTCTTACTGTACAAGATAGGTGGACCTGTTACCTGGAGGAAAGTTCATGTACAACACACTGATGTATCTACAAAATAAACTCAAGCCACACTAACCTTAGGTTCAAAGACATCCACGTGAGTTTAAGAATATGGAAATGGATTGAGTGGTAAAGGAAAGAAATTTGCCTAGTGAAGACAGGGACTATTTACTATTTACTGCAACAGAAAACTTTTATTTTTTTTTCCTCCCTAGTAACATCAACAAAAGCTCTATTAGAAATCCTATGACTAGGACATAAGCAACCTTCAGTAACATCACATGAATATAGCAGAACTGGAAAAGGAAAAAAAAAAAAATAGTCAAAATCTGCATGAACAAAACAGACTCTAAATAGCTCATGTAAGATACATGTCCGGAGCCACACTTAAGCCTTTTTTAGCAGAAAAGGCTGATGAAGCACAGGTAAAAGTCTCTGTTTTGGCCAGTGGACTGCTGATCCTTCCCAGACAGCTGACTGATTATAGCTTTGCATGAAAAGGATTATTTGAACTTTTTTTTTTCCCGTCCCTAGACAACTGTGGCAGCTGCCACAGATGACTAGAGCAAATGCCCTCATGCTTTCAAGGTTGTTAACATACTGGCAAGCCTACACATTTATACTTCCTTGTGACTCCTACTCTCTTCCCTTTTGTGAATTAGTTTTATGCACAGCTCAGTAATTGGCTACCCATGACTGCACACAGCAACCAATCCAAGAGTAACTGTGATACAATGAAAATAGATTTGGAGAATAAATTTCCAAATGAAAAGGCCTGTTTCCATTAAAAGTTTAACACTAACTATCAAATGCTTATCAAGTCACTGTTAAGATGGTCACTAATTGCTAGACTGTGTAAACATACTTTTACTTCTCTCCTGCTTGTGCTTTACTTTTGCGTAGCAAACTTCACATCCAGTACATACCAACATTTTCAACCTTGTATCTAAAAATCACTTTGGCATTTTAAGTTCATGTAATTTCGTCTCTGCCAAATAAATATTTCCAAATAAATATTTTTTGTTTGATTGATTCCCCCCCCCCCCCCCCCCGCCCTGCTCTCACACTAGAAACAATG